AGTGTGTTCTGCTTTGAACTATCTGGATGAAAATTTATGCAAAAATTCAACATTTTTTTTTATTTGCACGGACAGCTGATGTCTATGAATTACTTTAATAGGTAAAACGTCCGACGGGGATGATATGGAATGTTTATTCTAAATCCGAAAGAAAAATATTGTCGTTAACATCACCATGCAATAGATTAAAACGAATACAAACTTGCCGTGTACATAATTAGTAATGAACACACAGTCAGGGCATACCTGTTTCCTGTTTATCACGATGATCGTATTTTCGTGGCGCTTTATGTGAATTGTGAAGATGTTAAAATGATTAGAAGAAAAATAATTGAAGTATTTAATATAATTTTGAGGTGTACATCGATCAAATCATGTTTAGTGAAGACATGCTTACTTGAGTACATAATTAGTAAATTCTGATCAAACGACATTTCATAATATGTAATAAGGTATTTTGTCTAATCATGATAATTAAACACCAATTAGCAAGTGGGGTAAAATGAGCTTGTCTTTATAATAGTCAGTATTTTAAGTAAATTATGTGACGAAGTAGATTTTATGATGAGGCGTGTACCAACACGATTATCATTAGTATCTGTATTATAAAGAGTTTTGGTACCAATGGATACATGTCTATGTCAGACTGTCTTGGACTGGGGCAGAAGTAGCCAGAGGTAAGTCAGTTTGCCTTCTTTAATCTTTGTTCGAAGATCATCGGAACGCAAGATTCCGCCGTATGGGTTTGATCACGTCAATAAATTGTTTCCCGCATGTATTACATTAATGTTTTCGTTCTGCAGAGGAAGCACAGAACCTATTGAAAGATGGCGGATAAAAGAGTGAAATCAAATAGTAAGTATGGGACACAGACCAATCCAGAAATGTCTGTCTGCATTAAAATAGAGAGGTGCTGTAGAACTTTATACGTATTTATATATCAAAAATAGGTTTTGCAAAGACAAAACAATTCTTCTCCAAAAATCAATGGAGACACCTAACGTGGAAATACAAATGAATTATGAGATGGAATAATTCCTATTTGTCTACCTTAAACCGTGACATGGGGTCAGTTTGCTCCTGTAGGGCTATTAAAAATCCCACTTCAGCAGCATTTTTCAAACACCTCGACGCCATATTGATTTTTAAAATTCTCTCTAGAAGTTTTATTCTTATTTGCAACGTAACTTTCTTATTCACCTGTATTTATTTTACAACACGTCCCAACAACCACCCCATACTACCTCCATTTGTGTGTATTTTTGTCTTCTTAGTTTGATACCGTCTATGTTTGTAAAGATAGTTCTTATCAAATTTTCTGTATATAACACACTTTGTTTGTAAAGGTAGTTTTCATCAAGATGTTTTTATGTGTATATAATTTTGTTTGTAAAATAGTTAATCACAAGAGATATGTATGTATATTAGATAAACAGAGTTCCGGTGCTTCCTCTTGGGTCATTTTGCTTATCTGCCGGGCGCTGGTTTCCTCTCAGAGGTTTTTCCTGAAGTGCACTATGATCGCGAAGAATGGGTTTGAAAGTTTGGTTTTTACTCGAACGTAGGCGTAGTTTTGCTCACTTTTGCTCCAAATATGTTATAATGAATTTTTTTATATGTACATGTTAATTAAACTAGGTTGAAAATAAACGGCTTCACTATTCTAAAAAAGGGCATGCCAAGATTTTACGGCCAATTTGATTGTTTGGTATTCTTTTCTTGACATTTAGAGCAAACAGAGCTCAAGGTATGGATCATTTCTTTTATACTTTAGCAGGACAAAAATTCCTATTTGTCTTTCTTTAAACCGATCCTCTTGTGTTGTAGTTATGTGTCTGTACATATTGATTTGTGTCGGTGAAATGGATTGAATTGTATCTAATTTAAATGGAGAATGACGACAGAAGATTCTTTTTGCAAGAACAAGTATGGTAAAGAACCGCTGTTTCTGTTCTTTAGCGTGCACGACGTCAAGACCAGAACTGCGCGTGCTGCTGGTGGGAGAAACTGGGTGTGGTAAAAGTATGGCGGGAAACGTTTTACTCGGCGCTGACCTCTTTGTTACTGGCGCCGACGCTAAAGCTTGGCCGAAAGAAAAATGCTTCCGCGGAGAGAGCGAAAAGATCAGAGGATGGGACAAAGTCGTGGTTGTAGATACCCCGGGGAAATTCTTCTATATCGGCGAAGAAGACGAAAAAAAGAAAAAGGGTGAAATCACCAAAATAGCAGGAATGCTTTCTCCAGGCCCGCACGTAATCATACTGGTTCTGTCTAAGGTAAAAGGAAACGGAAGTAGAAGAGCAAATGAGGAAGAAATTGTGAAGTTCTATGCAAAAACGTTCGGAAAGAAGATTGAAAATCATTTCGTCTTTCTTTTTGCCGGAGAAGATGACGATTACGCAGCATTGGCAACTTTACACGAAGACAGTTACCTGAAACTGCTGATAAAAGAAACGCCCAAGAATTACATGGCATTCAATGTTACCACAGCAAGTAAGCCAAAGTTTTCAGAAAAAATGCTTAGCGTCGTCACCAATGTTGTCGAGAGAAATCGGTGGGGATTCCACACGGACAAAATATTTCAAGATGTCCAAATGAAAAATCAGGAAAGAGAAAAAGAAATAAGGAAGTATGAGGATGATAGTCACAGAAAGTATATCGACCAATTGAGGAGCGAGCAAAGACGAAGGGTCCAGGACCTGGAACGAAAATATGACGAGATGTTTAAAAAGGCCAATATGTCATATCAGAAAAGAACACATCCAGATACCCTGAGGTCACGGGTTCGAGACGAATACCAGAACGAGACGGGAATATGGAATACCATTGAGGAAATGACAACATTTCTTTGGAAAGCTTTCAAACCCTTCATCAAAAAGTTGTTAAAGTAAAACGTAAGGGTTTTAATGGTGTATATATATACACGACGTGATAATCTCGATGTGTCATACAGGGACATCCTGGAGTCGTTTTTGTTTCATCTTTTGTCATCCAGCCACCGAAGTCTTACGTGCCCAGGTCAGATTTTTCGAATATTATCTGAAGTAAAAGGTCATTAATATTCTATAACCATGTCAATTTTATAACCTGGATGTATAGGGGACAAGTAAATAGCTTCTTTAAATAAAATTAATTCTTTCACTGCAGTACTAGAGTTGTAAAGTTGTAACTATATATATGTATACAATCCTTTCACTACAGTACTAGAGTTGCAAAGTTGTAACTATATATATGTATACAATCCTTTCACTACAGTACTAGAGCTGTGAAGTTGTAACTATATATATGTATACAATCCTTTCACTACAGTACTAGAGCTGTGAAGTTGTAACTATATATATGTATACAATCCTTTCACTACAGTACTAGAGTTGTAAAGTTGTAACTATATATATGTATAAAATCCTTTCACTATACAATCCTTTCACTACAGTACTAGAGCTGTAAAGTTGTAACTATATATATGTATACAATCCTTTCACTACAGTACTAGAGCTGTAAAGTTGTAACTATATATATGTATAAAATCCTTTCACTACAGTACTAGAGTTGTGAAGTTGTATCTATATATCTTTCACTACAGTACTAGAGTTGTGAAGTTGTATCTATATATCTTTCACTACAGTACTAGAGTTGTGAAGTTGTATCTATATATCTTTCACTACAGTACTAGAGCTGTGAAGTTGTAACTATATATATGTATATCACTACAGTACTCTGTAAAGTTGTAACTATATATATGTTCACTATACAATCCTTTCACTACAGTACTAGAGCTGTAAAGTTGTAACTATATATATGTATACAATCCTTTCACTACAGTACTAGAGCTGTGAAGTTGTAACTATATATATGTATACAATCCTTTCACTACAGTACTAGAGTTGTAAAGTTGTAACTATATATATGTATAAAATCCTTTACAGTACACTATACAATCCTTTCACTACAGTACTAGAGCTGTAAAGTTGTCACTATATATATGTATACAATCCTTTCACTACAGTACTAGAGCTGTGAAGTTGTAACTATATATATGTATAAAATCCTTTCACTATACAATCCTTTCACTACAGTACTAGAGCTGTGAAGTTGTAACTATATATATGTATACAATCCTTTCACTACAGTACTAGAGCTGTGAAGTTGTAACTATATATATGTATACAATCCTTTCACTACAGTACTAGAGCTGTAAAGTTGTAACTATATATATGTATAAAATCCTTTCACTACAGTACTAGAGCTGTAAAGTTGTAACTATATATATGTATACAATCCTTTCACTACAGTACTAGAGCTGTAAAGTTGTAACTATATATATGTATACAATCCTTTCACTATACAATCCTTTCACTACAGTACTAGAGTTGTAAAGTTGTAACTATATATATGTATACAATCCTTTCACTACAGTACTAGAGTTGTAAAGTTGTAACTATATATATGTATACAATCCTTTCACTACATATGTAAAGTTGTAACTATATATATGTATAAAATCCTTTCACTACAGTACTAGAGCTGTAAAGTTGTAACTATATATATGTATAAAATCCTTTCACTACAATACTAGAGCTGTGAAGTTGTAACTATATATATGTATACAATCCTTTCACTACAGTACTAGAGCTGTAAAGTTGTAACTATATATATGTATACAATCCTTTCACTACAGTCATCCTTTCACAGTACTAGAGTATGTAAAGTTGTAACTATATATATGTATACAATCCTTTCACTACAGTACTAGAGTTGTAAAGTTGTAACTATATATATGTATAAAATCCTTTCACTATACAATCCTTTCACTACAGTACTAGAGTTGTAAAGTTGTCACTATATATATGTATACAATCCTTTCACTACAGTACTAGAGCTGTGAAGTTGTAACTATATATATGTATACAATCCTTTCACTATAGTACTAGAGTTGTAAAGTTGTAACTATATATATGTATACAATCCTTTCACTACAGTACTAGAGTTGTAAAGTTGTAACTATATATATGTATAAAATCCTTTCACTACAGTACTAGAGCTGTAAAGTTGTAACTATATATATGTATACAATCCTTCACTATAGTACTAGAGCTGTGAAGTTGTAACTATATATATGTATACAATCCTTCACTACAGTACTAGAGCTGTGAAGTTGAGGATATGGAGGGGCAGTGCCGATTATTTTTTTCATGGTTCTATCTTCAATTGATATATATTCAATAATACGACTTGTAATGATATCCAATCAAAAGTCAGTGAAATTCAAGTTTGTCATAGGTTTACTGTACAATATGTCACTGAGGTAAATATGATGTTCAAGTGAACTTATTCTCGAGGGTTTAAAAGAGATCTGCAGTCAGGGACCAATTTTAAAGACACAATGCTGTCAATGATGTATCACAAGAATTCAAACCCAACACCTACATATTAACAGTATGTTGCTTTACACCAGTTTGTGTGACAAGGACTATCATTTCATCTATACCTAAGTTTTTTTCTCCATTTCAATTCACATGTGACCGTAACTGAAGCCTAAATTCATGTAATAAATTCATTCTTCTAATACTAAACTGTGATGTGATGATTTCATGAGAAAAATTATCCCAAACAAACATCGTCTATGTGACCTTCAAATTCATCAACGCTCCTGTTAACATGTCACTAGACATAAAGGCGTATGTACCCTTATATTGTCATGTATTCTAATCTTCTCTGTCAAGAGGTCTAAAGAAAAACATTTTTAATTTATCTACCTTTTAATATGAAAAAAAAAAAAAATGAAATATGAGGAAAAAACCACGTCCTGTTTTCCCATTTCAAATGGATGTAGTCTTTGAAAATTGCTGATTATCTCTTAAGTGTGAACAGGTTCCATAAGTTACGGTCATCTTCAAGAACACTTGTTGGTGACATGTCCTTGCAGTGCTATATATTGTCTCTGGCTAGGTCAACACAAGCAGTTAATCTTAAGGAAAACAAGGGCACATAAACAACTATTTAAAATCATTTTATCATGTTTTAAAATGGCAAGAAAAACAGAAAGAAAAAATAATTACCAACACCATTTAAACTTAATTATATTTATACCACTTAATTGTCACAGTATTCTGTGAATATACCCACATTCTTTGTATTACATCCTGTGATATGGTCTATTGTGATGTCAGGATTAGATAAGATATAACGACGACCATTCACAGATTACAGAGACATCACGAGAGAGACCGTATATAAATACGGTAGCCAAAAGGACTTGGCTTTTACATGGACGAGAATAATTTTCTGCAATATTCGCCAAAATAATTAATCATTATAAAGGAAATGGAATTCCATGTGATATTTGGTTTAAGAAACTCATGTAAAATCCTATAGAGGTTCATCTAGTTGCAAGAAAATTTAAATATCTCGGCATATGACATTGATCAGTCAATCAGTCGTTCATCTTCAGGTGAGAATAATTCATGATTTTCAAACAAATTCAAAAACTGATTACGGGTATTTAACTGTATTATGTACTTAACTATCTCAACAGATAGTACACGTAAAATATCTTAATAAAAATAACATGCAAACAAACACATATAAGCAGAAATCTTCAAAATAAAAATTTGAATAATGCTTATGTACTTGAAAAAAATATTGCACAACATGAATGGCACTGTGAAAGACAGCTAGATCAGATCACAAAAATACATTATAAACATACACATGTTGTAGATCGGAACAAAAAAATATATTTCTCCTTCACCAACATAAGTCATAAACGTAATATTCTCTAAAATCGAGGTTTTCCCCAACAACTACTAACACAGTTTGCTATTATGTAAACAATGATAAATATTATACCAGCAAGTTCCTGATAAATGTAAAACTAATATGAGAACACAATCAGTTTTGAGTATTTACAACCTTAAGGGTCATCTGTAAATGATAAGATAGCACCATACTTTTCACATATCTGTTTCTTTAAACACATGAGAAACTTTACATTATAAATCTACATTTCATATTTTAATCCCTTGGCATTCAATGTTAAGTCAATCTTGCATTCACCAATTTTAAGACACATTCTACATCGCGTAACAATATTATGACATTTCATTTTGGCACCATGTTGACCTACCCTTAAATCTCGAAAATAAGCAGCAGCATTTTTTTTTTTCTGAAGGGATCACGGAGTATCTTCAAAAATTGCTTTATTTTAAGACAGATTTTCGAAGCCATTTTGACTGAGGTATGTAGCTTACTGTCTAGACATTCTTATTTTTTGTAGATATTTTTTAAACTGTCCACGCAAAGTTGACCAGGCCTCGACGGTCACCATAATAGTTTATCGAATCTTTGTCATTAATGCTGAAATATAGGAAATAATTAATTGACCCTGTAACACACTGGGCTTAATGCTACATTTCATAACAATTTTCCATTAGCTTTAATTATATACACAACTCACTATATGGAGTTTTATATGTAAACATGTAACTTTGTTCAGATGAAACATTTAGTAAGAAAAAGATATTGTTTATACAGGCCATTTGTCACAGGTTCCAGTGTAATACAAATCAGAAAGGTTGAACCTCTGTATAAAAAACACTTACCTGTCTGTAAAGGCCACATTTCTCTGCTCCCTTGTGTGGCCTCTATAGACAGGTGTGACTGAAGAGCATTACATTGTGATAAAACAGAAACAACAGTTTTTAAAAATAATCTCCCAGATGTATAATACCAATATGAATGTGATGATAAGTGAAAATGTAAAATATAGTTAACATCTGAGAAGTGTTACCCTACATAAAAAAACAAGAAAACAAAATATTCTATTCATTAATGGTATGTTCTTCAATCTATCCCCATCAAAAAACCAGACTAAATGTCAGAAAGTGACCACACTTCCGCTTGTGTGACGTCAGGTTTGACTGGCCAAATGTCTTATTTTCACACTAAATCCTGCTCTCTGATTGGTCAATTGAGTGTTAAATAAAAGTATATAAAAGTAAAAAATCTAGATTGTTTTTCCCCTGGTAAAAATATATTTAGCAAATCGTGTTTTTTTATTGGACTATCAAAGCAAAATGAGAGATTATCTGTATGAGATGAACATTTCTGGTCCCATGCATATCGTTTTTCTATATACTGTAATGATGACCTTGATGTATGAAGTTTAAAAAGTTGTAAAATAAATTCGAAACAGACATGACATAGGTAACACTATCTACTCCAGCCTTCCTCTCCCTGAACATACAATGGTGGGGGTATAACAATTCATTTTCAAATGAGGTTGTGCTGCTCATATAACAATCGGTAGATAAATATGTATTGGCAGGTTCTGTTGTAACTGTTGTGAATAAACGTCAACTGACCAGATCCCTCTATCCATAGAATGTGACAATGGTCAGCAATGAGTGTGTAGAATTGTCCAGCATACAATGTTTCTCCAATTTGTCCTTATGTATAATTTTAGTCACCCTGTTTTCACCAGGTGTTGTAGGTATATCCAAGACAACATGATAAATTCCATCCTCACAGTGTTCCAGATCAAACTGTGAGAGGTTAGTCTAAATAATTGTTTTTCTATCCAGCTGTTGCATGATTTCTCCTTATAGAGTGGATTTTGATCAATAAAAACGTAGATCTGTGTGGTTATCACAGGTGTCATTTGTCCATTCCTTGTGAGGTCAGTCAAATTGCATGTAGATTTGTCCAGCCATGACAGGGTCTCTTGTCCGTGCTTTGTGAGGTCAGTCAAATGACATGTAGATTTGTCCAGCCATGACAGGGTCTCTTGTCCGTACTTTGTGAGGTCAGTCAAATAACATGTAGATTTGTCCAGCCATGACAGGGTCTCTTGTCCATACTTTGTGAGGTCAGTCAAATGACATGTAGATTTGTCCAGCCATGAGAAGGTCTCTTGTCTGTGCCTTGTGAGGTCAGTCAAATGACATGTAGATTTGTCCAGCCATGACAGGGTCTCTTGTCCGTACCTTGTGAGGTCAGTCAAATGACATGTAGATTTGTCCAGCCATGACAGGGTCTCTTGTCCATGCCTTGTGAGGTCAGTCAAATGACATGTAGATTTGTCCAGCCATGACAGGGTCTCTTGTCCATACAATACTTGCCACCATTTTTGATACCACAGTAACACTGGTGTTTGTCTGTAGAGATAATAAACATGGTGTCAGACAGGATAATGATTGAATGGTAAATTACCCCTAAACTGTTTCACAAATAAAAGAAATTTGAATGTTTCAACATTAACACAGTCAGATGGGAGAAACAGCGTATTTGTATTACAGTAATATTTTTTAATATCTATATATCTCATAGCTGCTTAGTGTTAAAAATTACAATCTAGATACAATCATAATATCAAAAGCCTGTAGAGATGTACATGGTCAATGTTAACATATATTACGTAGACAACATCTTATAGATTTTTGTTCTCAACAATTCGAAAAAGAAATTGTTATGAACGTAAGAAATGACAGGTATGGAACAAACTAGAGTTTTCATGTTTTAAATAACATTAAACATATATCTATATATCAAATCCTACCTCATTCAAAACAAAATATACCAGCAGGTGTTTCTTCCTCCAAGATTGACAATTCCTCTGCACAATATTTTTGATCTTTTTAAAGCAGTTCACCATCTCATCCTCCAACTGTATCACATGAACTATCACTTTATCCAGGAAAGGTGTTAGGGGTGCCAAAGAGGATTTTTTCTGTTCCCTGACTAGATTTTCTGTGTAGTCTGTTATAACATCACTGTCAAACTGAGTATGGTAGTACACAGTACAGTTCACGTCCACAAGGTCACAAGTTTCCAAGGAATCACATATCGTTACCTACAACAGACAGAAAACTTGTAACATATCATTACCTACAACAGACAGAAAACTCGTAACATATCGTTACCTACAACAGACAGAAAACTCGTAACATATCGTTACCTACAACAGACAGAAAACTCGTAACATATCGTTACCTACAACAGACAGAAAACTCATAACATATTGTTACCAACAACAGACAGAAAACTCATAACAGCAGTCTCACAACATCATATCTGACTTGGTACATGTAGCTTGTGACGGATATGTTATCTTGTATTTGACATATAAATTTTGACAATGTAAAATGTTTCACATGAGAACCTGTGATTGACACAGTAATCTATCTTTTACTTTGGAACATGTTTCAGACATGGTAACCAGTGCTTGACATGTTAACCTGTGTTAGATATTGTGACCTACTTGTGTTTAACATGGTAACCACTGCTAGACACGTTAACCTGTGTTTGAAATTGTGACCTACTTGTGTTTGGCATGGTAACCAGTGCTTGACAACATTTATCTGTGTTTGACATAGTGACCTAATTGTGTTTGACAGGGTAACCAGTGTTTGACATGTTAACCTGTGATAGACAATGTAACCTGTCAATGACATTGTAACCTGTGATAGATATGGTAACCTGTCAATGACATTGTAACCTGTGATAGATATGGTAACCTGTCAATGACATTGTAACCTGTTAATGACATTGTAAGCTGTCAATGACATTGTAACCTGTGATAGATATGGTAACCTGTCAATGACATTGTAACCTGTGACAGATATGGTAACCTGTCAATGACATTGTAACCTGTGACAGATATGGTAACCTGTCAATGACATTGTAACCTGTGACAGATATGATAACCTGTCAATGACATTGTAACCTGTGACAGATATGGTAACCTGTCAATGACATTGTAACCTGTGACAGATATGGTAACCTGTCAATGACATTGTAACCTGTGATAGATATGGTAACCTGTCAATGACATTGTAACCTGTGATAGATATGGTAACCTGTCAATGACATTGTAACCTGTGATAGATATGGTAACCTGTCAATGACATTGTAACCTGTGACAGATATGGTAAACTATCAATGACATTGTAACCTGTGACAGATATGGTAACCTGTCAATGACATTGTAACCTGTGATAGATATGGTAACCTGTGATAGACATGGTAACCTGTCAATGACATTGTAATCTGTGACAGATATGGTTACCTGTCAATGACATTGTAACCTATGATAGATATGGTAATCTGTATTGACAAAATAACTTCTGTTTGACATAGATACCTTTGATTGACAGAGTAAACTGTGACTGACATGGTAACTTGTGCTTGATATGGTAGACTATGTTAGAAAAACAAAATTTAATGTTTCATCATTTATCTGAGTGGTATCTATATTTCAATACAACTGATCATACTGTATATATTTGATAAATGTGACAACAGTTGTTGGGTGTGACAACATATTTCGATGTTTTGACTCTTGTGACGTGACAATCCAGTTTGTGATGAATTTGAAGGATCTCTAAATATCCATTTGATGTGAATGTGTAGTTCAATGTATTTCTTCTTAATAAAACAACAATATTTGCATTGTGTCACCTTGAGATGTCGAGCACCTAATTCCTGTTCTAAACAGGTGACAAGATCTCTATCACAGCATCCAACCACTTGAACCTGCATCTCATTCTCTGTAAGAAAAACAATTTACATGTAAATAATCTGTTGACAAAAAAAAAACTAGAGATCCTAGAAGGATTTACCACTTAGTTGGCAGTTGACAGAAAAAAAACCAAGAGATCCCTGAGGGATTTACAAGCTAGTGGGCAGTTGACAGAAAAAAACCAAGAGATCCCTGAGGGATTTACAAGCTAGTGGGCAGTTGACAAAAAAAAAAACCAAGAGATCCCTCAGGGATTTACAAGCTAGTGGGCAGTTGATAGAAAAAAAACCAAGAGATCCCTGAGGGATTTACAAGCTAGTGGGCAGTTGACAAAAAAAAAACCAAGAGATCCCTCAGGGATTTACAAGCTAGTGGGCAGTTGACAGAAAAAAACCAAGAGATCCCTGAGGGATTTACAAGCTAGTGGGCAGTTGACAGAAAAAAACCAAGAGATCCCTGAGGGATTTACAAGCTAGTGGGCAGCTGACAGAGCAAAAACAAGAGATCCCAGAGGAATTTACAAGCTAGTGGGCAGTTGACAGAAAAAAACAAGAGATCCCTGAGGGATTTACAAGCTAGTGGGCAGTTGACAGAACAAAAACAAGAGATCCTAGAAGGATTTACAAGCTAGTGGGCAGTTGACAAAAAAACGAGATCCCAGAGGGATTTACAAGCTAGTTGGCATTTGAAAAAACAAAAACAAGAGATCCTAGAAGGATTTACAAGCTAGTTGGCAGTTGACAGAAAAAAAACAAGAGATCCCAGAGGGATTTACAAGCTAGTTGGCAGCTGACAGAAAAAAAACCCAAGAGATCCCTGAGGGATCTTGGTTCCCTACCAAGTATGATCTTTTTTCATTTCTACTTTGTAAGTTGGATCTTTTCTCTCTAGTCTTCTTATCTACTTTCCATTAAATGCTGTATTGACAGGTGAATTAATTATAAAGCATCAATAAACAAGGGAAATAACCTGGTACATACAAATTGAAAAAAAATTAAAATAAATAAATAAATAAATAAAAAGAAATTTCCATCCTGAGACGAATGTCCAGCTAGAGCGGAGTTGAAAGGTTAACCTACAAATCAATGTTAAAAAATAATCAAGAATTATGTGGAAAAATGGTGATAAAAAACTTTAACTCTTGAAAATTAACTGAGCCACTTGTCAGTCATTCTGTTTTTTTCCTGACCTGTCTCAAAATAAAAATGACATGAGAAGATATAGAGGTACATATTTAAGATTTGAAAAGCATCTTTCCAGTTCCAGATCAGTCGAAAAATCATAAGGGCATAACTTAAAGCCAAAAGGAACCTTCCTAAGAAATCTGAGAATGATCCATCAAATTACTTCTCCAGAAATAGCAATAATAAAGTTCCTAAAGAACGAACAACAGATCATATCTGCAAGGTCATTTGAATAGCAATCCATGATGAGTGGATAATAATACATTTTATACCAATATTTTTCGTCAACTAGAACCAGGTAAATATATAATCAGAATTCACAATAATCATCTGGGGAATTAAAATACAGTGACATAGTGATTAAAACTGGCTGTCACCCTGTAAAATATCATTATTTTCCACCTCTTTCTGCATCAAGCTGCCTATACATTTTACTTCAGAAAATTCAAAACTTTTCCTGCCATTAAATGTATGATGCTGCAAAATTTCGAAAAGAAAACAGGGGAGAGAAAATTGTTTATTTCCAGATGTTAAAATAAATGCCCACTTTTTAACTCATTCCCCTTCAAAATGAATGTATTACATACCTTTGAGCATGCCCTCTGCTGCATACAAGTCCTTTCTTAAGGTTACCTGACAATACATTTATCACACGTTAATATTTCGTAAATAATTTTATTTCAGATATTCACTATGCAATCAATTCAATAATATTTGTCCCTGTACTTCTATTGATAATCAATTCATCCAGACAAACTTGTGGGAAATTTCAATAAAATCTACAAAGAAACAGGTATACTGAGTACTGATAAAACAACGTCTCCTTTCTGCCCATTATCACACTGTATCAATTAAAAAGATGTTGCCCAAGATGTTGAGACAAATTCCTTTATTTTCACAATCCGATTTTAACCCATAGTATCCATGTTTGGTCCCTAAAGAACTTCTGTGCGAAGTGTCAGCATCGTTATACCACATAATCTTAAGTAAATGGTGAACCATCAAAAATTAAAAAAAAAAAAAGTTTTTGAAAAAATAGAAGTTATGATCCACACCTGCAAATAATTAAGAAAAAGTTCCCACACCTATTCCAGTTTCACTCTGTTTAGAACATATCTGTAAAGTATCAGCATCCTACTACAATTACACAGTGAACAATTAAAAACCTTTGACCAAGATCACAACCAAGGATTTCAGATGGAAAGGAAGACAGGTGGACGGGGACAAACCCTAAACCTCCCTTCCCCACAAGATTACCAGTAGGAGACTATTAAATGCCAGTAAATAATGCAAGTAAATAATAATATTCTATCATTTCTTTTACCAAATCTATGTTTACATTTTGTTGAAATGTTACATGCCCAAGAAATAGTAGTGGACTTGTTCACTTGGCACACGACACAACTCAACATTTATTGTTTATTTTCAATGAAGGAAAGGCAGAAAAAGGAATATGATATTACTTAAATTACTAAAATAATTGCTTACCTTCCAAAGATTACTAGGACCTTCTATTAGTCTGGCCTTTGTGCTGGTATATTTCAATGCAAGTTGGAGACATTCGGTTCCAAAATCAAAATCATGCTCTGTGGCCTGAAACACGAAATTAACAAATTAAGAATTAAAAAGCAATCGCAACAAGCCCAGGATACATGTTTCTTCTTATTTATTGGTATGTCAATTAATTTTGCACAAACTTTTCGGCTTCATCAGGAAGTTTGGGTGGACCCAGTCAACATACCAATAAATAATAGGAACCATGTATCCCAGTTTTGTTGCAATTGCTCTTCAGTTTTTAGTTTGTCCCTGTACTCCAATCATCCTGTATATCAGTAGATGTCCAAGCAAGGGATACAAAGAACTGACCGAACTCCTCCTTATAGGGCTCTACCTTAATATCTACATGTAATTTATGATCCAACGTCTGTAGTCAGTTATAAAATGACGGCTAAGTTGGGACCTTGAACATCATTTATCCAATCCAATGTCTACAGGTATTTTCATCCAGGTAGTCAATTTAATTCATTTTTTTTCAAAACTGACATGCTGCTGAGTAACCTGCATAGGGCACTCGGATTAAGCGCGGGGTAAGGACTGACATGATGCTAAGTAACCTGCATAGGGCACTCAGATACAGCGTGGGGTAAGGACTGACATGATGCTAAGTAACCTGCATAGGGCACTCAGATAAAGCGCGGGGTAAGGACTGACATGATGTTTTATGTTTCAATTTAAGTTGCAAATACAAACAGTGACCCTTTTTGGGGGCAATTGGCAGTTTTACTATGCGCACTTCAAACTTTTGTAGACATTTGATCCTTTGACCTTGAAACTTGGTTCAAAATAATCTTGGTATCATTCCCTACAACTTACAAGGGCATATGCTTATAAATAGCTCAAGATTTTGGAGAAAATTATTAGTTTCACTTCTTACAAGTGTTGGTGACCTTTGACCCAAGGACCTTAAAACTTGGCTGAAAAATCTTTGCATCATTTTCTAAAACATTCAAAGTAAAAAAAATTAGCATTCCTGGAGACTAAATGAAACAGCCGGAGACCATGAATTTTGCAGTTGTGCTACAGCTACTCTTTAACATTACAACAATTTCAAGCACTGATTTCCTTTATGTCTCCCAAAAGAGAAGAATATTTTTTGAATAACATGTTCCTTCACTGTTCTGGCCCAACCCATGGGCACCTGAGGAATGGAAACCAAAATTTTTGCAATTTTGATGCCCCTTCAGGTATTGATAACATTTGATTTTAAATTGGCTTTATGGTTCTTAAGAAGAAGCTGAAAATGTGAAAAATCAATTGATGGTGCAAAATGACCAAAGAAACTTCATCTTCAATGTTTGAATGGCGATCACTATCTGAATAGGAATATTATTTGAAACAATCAATGTATGCCAACACACCTTTTCATATGCAGACAGAATAACAGAGAAGATGAATCCTTGTGGCATCTCACTGGCGTGATATCTGCTGCGGTCTAGTGACTCCTCCAGGTAGCCACACTCATCAGAAGCAATCACAGTGGAAATAAGTGGACGATGAACACCTGCTGCCTGGAATATAAACATCATTCATTCATGATTGTTTTTATGAACTGACCCAAGAGAAGCTCTATCAATTTCCAAGTCCTATTTACATACAATATCAAAATGTTTTACACTCTGAATTATCATGTGAATAGTAATGATACACAAACAAGAGTCATTTTTATACATCCAGGGCTCTCGATCTGCCAGATTTGGGGCCGATTTCCAATGCAAAATAGTATCTTTTTTTTCCAATTTAGACCCAAAGTTTTCCCGATTCTAAGGAAAACGCCGCTATTTTTCCCAATTCTAAGGGCTCCGGGCCCCGAGGCCCCGGTCCCAAAATGGGGTGTGAGAGCCCTGACATCTAAATATAATTATAATTATCGACACCTTAACCAAGAATGACATTATCGTTCTACCAAAACGGAAATATTATTATCATTTCGTTGTCTAATATACTAGAAATAACCAATACTGAATTTTGTCCAGGGTTTTTAATTTAATTTTTGGGGGGAGAACAGATGAATTCTACTCAATCATTTTCACATTCTAACCAAAATTTGGCACTGAGTTCATTCTTTGATGTGAACAATTGATATGAAGAGAAGAAAGTCTTTGTGGAACACACCCCAGTCTCCCTGGCAGCCTTGGCTACATCCTGTATTACACTCTCACCAACAAACAGGCGTACAGCATCATGTATTATCACCACGTCAGAGGGCTCCAAAACTGTAACAGAGAAACAATGGTATCAGTCAAACTGATAAACGCTTTCACCAAACAACCTAAACGCTTTCACCAAACAAAACCTAAACGCTTTCACCAAACAACCTCAGTGGAGGTTTTTCTTGTCAGTGAATTTTGTATTTGGTCACATTCATGACACATATCTTAAATCAATTGATCATCGATACTTAATATACATGTCAGCTATAAACTCTGATTTCTACTAGTGTGTGTTTTTATCAATAGTTTGGTTTTGAAAGTTGTATGAAAGATTATCAAAAGTTCAACGATTATAGGCAATGGAACTGTTTTCTGAAAATGTACTTAGTATAAGTTGTGAGTATCAGTGGCATCACTTCAGAGCAGTCATGCTCCAGATGAGAAATTTTCACAAAGGGCAATAACTCTGTGATTAACAGGGTTGCAGACACTGTTTTTAGGACACTGCATACTTGTCTTGGCATGACCAACGTATTCACCAAGTTTCATTAACCTAGTTTAAATGCAAGCAAAGCTATGCTTCAGACATAAAATATTTTAAAAAAGTGATGCAATGTTGTGAATATAAATCAAATTCAAAATCTGTCCATGGTTCATGAAATATTGTTATATGCAGACATATATTTGAGAAATGGTCAAGGGTAGCCTTTGACCTTTAACCTTGATCACTGACCCTCAAAATCTAATCAGGTGTAAACCTTGGTAAGGTGATTATTATATAGAAGGAATATCAACAAAATATGTCCATGGGTTCATCAGATATCTGGTGCAGAAATTTATCACATATGCATGCACACAAGTGATTACAAAGCTGTCATTATAATCACACTTGATGCTTGCTTAATACATATATGTGGGATTATAGGCCTGAACAAAACCAACCAAGTAAAGATTTGAGAAAAAAATATCACTTTTCATAGTACAAAAGGAAAAGCAATTCCTGTTGTGTTCTGTAGTGATTAAATGCCTTCCCCTGTTCACACCTGATTTGAGTGTCTTTACTCCATTGTTAATCGATCTGTGACGGGTGTGGGCCCCTCTCACCACCATTACTTTAGTGTAACCATGACTTTCCACCAACTCTTCTAAATAGTCCACATATGGCTGAGAGACTACCACAACAATGTGGTTTACACAACTCAATCTACAAAAAAAATGGAGACAACTTCAAATAACATGGCAATGTTAAAAAAAAATGGAAAAATAAATACTGTACTATAAGCTTCATCATTCCCAGTCAATTGTATTTTCTTTTTTCATTCATTGAAAATAATTTATAATAAACTGGTAAGAGGTTCTGTACTTGTGGAATTCCTGGAGTGTGTAGAGGATAATGGGTCTGTCCAACAGTCTGCAAAACTGTTTTGGCAATGAACTCCCAAAACGTTCCCCAGTACCCCCAGCAGGTAGGACCACGCTTACATGTATGTTATCTCTGTCAGCCATCACTAAAATGATAAAAGTTTGTTTCCAGTGTTATAATGACACAAAATGAAATGAATTAAAAATATACATCTCTCATTCACCCAATCCGAAATACATTTGTATGTTCAGGAGTCACACAACTCATTCAACAAAGATCCCAGATGCATCTTGGCACCCACCTTTGTATTATCATTTTTCTTTTCATGCTTGCTTATTAATTACATGTAAATGTTGCATAAAGTGTTGACAGTTGAGTAAGACATATGGTAACATCAATAAACAAAGGCTGTTCTTCATACGAAATGGTAAATTCCTACTGTAATCTGAAATCGCTTTCTATCTGCATTGTAATTTGGCAAAAAGACCTACAATGGACAAGGCACAAGGGACCATTAGTGCCTTTTGGATCTGATCAAGGAATAAAGTAAAGTGACTCACTGCTAGTTCTGCTATTTTGCCATTCAAAGTGACTATAATTAATATTTAGCCACTGTGACAAATAAGCTTTATACAACCTTTCCAGTATAGACATTTAACTCTTTATTCTAGCGGTAAGGTGTCAAGCTCTAGAGCAAGAGGTTGTTCAGTGTGTTTATGCTCTTTTGGTCATTTTTCACGAATGGAACCTGATGATTTTTTCAAACTTTTTTATTGACTTTAGGTGGTGGTCCTGTAATTTTTAGTCAGGTCTGGGAAACAAAATGGCCGCCGTGAGGCCATCTTGTATTTTGTCAATTATAGATTGTTCTCAGAATATCTAAAGAACCAGAAGATAGATCACTTTTGGAATTTCTAATTCCAATGTATGTTCCTCCAAGTCTCTTCTTTTGTATTGTTCATGATTTGACATATCAGAAAATCAAAATTGCTGAAACGTGCCATCTTGAATATTTCAAAGTTGCTATTTCTTGACAATTCGATTGATTTTTCTCAAAATTCTGTTGTAGATTCTCCTTGGTCAATAAATGTGCCCATTTGTCTTTGGTGCTTCACAACTGAAGCCGAAATTAAAGAAGATGAAAAAAATGAAGAAGGCAAAATCCTACTTATACAGGGACAATATGACGCCATACAATAACTGGCACCAAGATGCATGGAATCTCGTTTTGATAGTATGCATACTGCAAAAATAGCTGCAGGACCGTCCCGATTTATACCCGAAATATTAATGTGACATTAAAATGCTACCGTCCAGCGTATTGTCAAACCGTTCGGCCCGCTAAACCGGAAATAAATAAACCTTAAAACAAGTTTATATATCGCTTTATCTTATTGGTCGTAGATGCTGGTCTTTATCCAATCAAAAAGGATGTTACATAACGTTCGTAGGCGCAACGTTCAAAATGGCTGATGACACTACATCTGAAAGACCAGCGTGTAGTTTTTTCAACAAAAGAAGTCGACAGCAAACAAGACGGAGGAAACACAGCGAATCTAGCAGTAATACATACTAAGAAAATAATTTGCATGCAATTGAATTCGATTTGAGTGGTAACACTGTCACGTTTCGATAATTTTGTTAACAATTGATCAGTGTACACACAGCGGCACATGTAACTGTATCTATAACATATGAGGCCGCTGGTCGGCCGTTTTATTATCTGAAATTATTGCGCCGCCTGTCATAAATATCTCGCCGCGTAAAACCTCTTATATTGTTGTAGTACTTATCTGGAACATAAACAACATAAGTAAAAATCCAGTCCAATTTATGATGCGATAGAGGAATGGATTGGTACTTGCGTTATTTACATCCCAGATACAGGTGCCTGTGGTGAATACTAGTGTACTGTCAAAAGCTCTCGTCTGCTGAAAGGCCGTTATAAAAGTGTCCTTTAGAAAAGTTACTCCAAGCGATCAACTTCTGCAATACCAAAAGACGCTTTCTCAATAAGAACGGTAAAATACAACAGTATACCTGAAAAAGGTCTCACAATTTACCGATGAAAACCGACACGATGTTAAAGTTTGCAACAAGAGGTGTAATTTACCAACACTGGTGACATGAGAAGAAGAAAAATGCTTTGATTGCTGTTTGTTTATTCACATATGCAGTTTTTTTAGTTATTGTATTAATATGATGCACAGACACCATCTATGATTATAAACAAAATACAATATTTTCTATGGTCAGTCATATTTGCACACCCTTTTATGATTCTGGAATTTATAGCCACATATCTGCAAACTTTTATTGTCATTGATCTAAATGACTTTGAAAAAAAAAACCTTTGTCCAGAGTGTAATGGTGTTGCAATTTTAACACAATAACTCAAAATTTTAGTTCCAATGATACGGTCATTTAGAAAATGCAACATAAATGCACAAATCTTTGTCGGTTTCGAATCCTATAATGCAATCATTAAGTACAACAACAAAAAACAATTAACTTTTTTGGCTGAATGTGTTGCTCATGCAGGTTATGAAAATTCTATTACTGCATCTATATTTGCATGTTAATATACATGTATACAAACTACATAGTGTAGTGAAAACTATTGCCTGTTATAGTTTTTCTACTCTCTGCCAGACTTCACTTTGAAAATACAATGACAGATCAGGGCAATCAATTGTTTCATTTTGATTGGTTGATATATACATTTACCATGGAGTATTAGTTTCAATGAATTCTCTCTAGTGGAGAAAAAAATGTAGCTAAGGATGGTAATCCAGTGTGTGAAAGCTATGATGTTTACCTCCCTTGATTCGAATTCTGGACTGACATAAAGTGACATTTGGTGGCAAACTGCTTTATTGCCTTCTAGCTCTCCACTCGAGTAACCAACACTATATAACTTTTTAAATAGGAACTAGGATCAACATTGGAGGGTACAGTACAGTACGAACCACAGACACGGTGATTTTACACAATAGTAATGACCACTTTCATCTATATTTGAACTTGAAGATCACATCATGTGGTAATAGCTGCTAGACCAAGAGAAAAGAATATCTAAAAGTAGATAAGTGGGAATGTTTTTGGAGCTCGTTGCCAAAGCAGTTTTGCAGAGTGTTGGACAGACCTATAATCTTTAAGTATAGAAGTTAGACATGTTTTGTTAAGGACAGTCTGAAACAGTCAGAAGAAGTAATGGAGTTGTATCTGGAAGCACTCTGAGAAATTGACTATAGTTTGTGGGTATTAAAAAAATGCTGTTTTCGTACCAGCTATGTTCTGTATGAGACTGTTGAGATAATATTTGTTTTTATAAATATATGATTGGCTCATGATATTTGTGATTGCTTTAAATACCTTAGATTGACTTTTTTTGATTGGCAAAGAAAATGTATGTATTTCATTATGTCGTTAGAACATTTCAGTTTCCATTTTAACATAAGATGCTAGTGGTTGTTGTTAGAAGTTCTGTTCTGGTAACGACTTAGATATATGTCTAAGTTTGTGTATATAAACATTAAGTCCTCAAGTACACTTTGTCATGTTGATAATTTTTCAAAGAACATCAGAATCTGTGTGACTTCACTTAGAAAATTAACAAATCTAAGCAATTTGATGTATATTAAGCATATCGGTTTGAAGATACTTTCTTCAACTGATTTTTTTGATTCCCAAAAATTTTTCAGGGCACAAATACTTAGTACTTGGTCTGTTTGTCTATCATTCGATCCATCTTTTTGTGTCTGGAACATAATTTTGCTCACAATTAAGCTAGTATTTCTTCAAATAATTTGTAATTTAATGTTTGGCTTTGTTTTTTCTTCTTGTCAGTCCCAGAAGTCCCCATAGGTTTTACCTTTCGACAGTGTAGTTGTTGGAATGTGTGTCAGAGTCAGAATCAATTAGAATCATTCACAATACACGGTTTTGACCAAGTATAATTGATTCCAAAATAAAAAAAAAACTATTTACTATCATCAGATTATAAAGAAACTTTGTATTACTTCAATAAATGTCAATGTCAGGAAATTGTTTTGTTACCAATTTCTATGAAAGCTCTTGAATTTGTTGAAAAAAAATATGTATATACCAGATCTGATAACATTTATTTTCTTAATTCGTCATTTATGTTTTGTTTTTATTTTAGACATCAGTTCTTCTTGTCAGTGCCTGAATTTCTTATCAGTAATTAGTCTTCTCATTGGTTCTCGTATTCAATTTTGTCTGATGTTGGCAAATAGTGAGACCACCGGAAATGTGTCTGCATCAAATGTAAATGCCTTCAAAAGTTTTGGACAATCTCAGGAAAAAACAAGAATTCTTCTCTAACTGTAAAGCTGAAATAACAACATAAACTTTAAAGAAGTGAAGTGGACTGAAATTTTATTTTTTTGAATGTTGTGTTTATTATATGTTATATCTGTATTTTATATGTTTTTGGAGTCTGGCACCAAAAATAAACTTAATTAACTTAATTAAAACCCGATAACATAAGTCAGAGTCTGCAAAGAAATCACCTAAAAAATCAAGATGAAATTTGTAGATATGTCATTACTTTTGTACTGGTATATATTTTTTCATGTTTTTTCTTCTTCAGGTGACAGTGATGATGGAACTGTGGTCAAGAAAAGGGAAAAGAAAACGTTCATTAAGAATCCAATGATGCAATCAGTATGCATTTTTTGTCATGTCTGCATCTGAAATACCTATGAGATGATTTATTCTATAAGTAATTGATTGTGTTTCATAGCTGAAACACCTTTTGTCATTAAAATGCATAATGAACCTGCATACAGGTTTTGCCTTCTTCAAAACGGCCAAATACTTATTCTAAGTGAAGTTTAAGCACATATGTGATCATCTATTGTGCCAACAGATACTCTGCTTGTTTTTTAATGATTTCACTTACGATTCCTTTTTTGTTCTTTCTGTTTGACCAATATATAATATTCTACTTACTTTTTGATATGCCACGTTTGAAATGTTTCTCCTACACAGACGGGGAGGTTGAAAGCTAATCAAGACCACCAATACAGCAGCGACAGTGACGAGGACAAGATATCAGTCAGTTACAAGTCGTCGCGTTCAGGGGTATGTAGTCACAATCATATTCAGGGCTCAAATTCACCAGAAATTAACAGTGTCATATAGAATGCTGTTATCTTGAAACAATATTCAATGCTATGAGTCACATCTGAGCTTCCCAGTAAAAAATGGTCAAAGCTACTAAATAATCAAAAACTACATGAAAATCAATGCAAGTAAATCTTTAAATCGTAAAATGTTGATGAATTGGTATCATGAATGAAACATTACAGTGATTAAGATATTTCTTATTTAACAACATGGAACAGAAATTTTAGTGATTGAACTTTGCAGAAACGAGAAGGGCCAACAGACATGGGGGCAACTTCCATCGTGGAGATAGACACAGCTAAAGAACAGGATGCTCAGGCAATATTTGAAAAATCTCAACAGATCAACAAGGTATGGAGCCCAAAGGAAGTGTTCTCTGATATATATATATATAGATATATATCTATTATTAATATTGTGTTTTGCCATTTTTAGATATAAGTACTGGTACTGGAAGTAATTTTTAAATGTATTTACATCAATATATGATGAAGTGATGTCAATTTATAGCTGAGAGTTTATTCTAGTATTGATGCAAGGTGTGTGGTTCAATTCCTAACCAGCATGGTTTGTTTTTATGCTTCTTGAAGGGAGAGCATATAGTCTCCACTTATCATAAAAACTATAAGAGGTATCAACATAAAACTTAATAGGTAGATAGATCTCAACAAGGAGAAGTGCAGTGCCTCAGAACTGTCACTCTCTTTTGCATAACTTAGGAGTTACTGCCCTTTGTTATTTTTCATACTTAAATTTTGTCTGGAGCATTACACTAAAACTACAAGAGGTATCAATTTGAAACTTCATAGGTAGATAAACCTCAATGAGAAGGAGGTAATGCACAAGAATCATAGCTTGCTCCGTACCCTTTGTTTATTTTCATACTTAAATTTTTTCCGATTCGGGAAACATATCCCGTCTCTGATGGCCGTTGTTGTCAAGAGGCTGAGGGCTGAGATCACGGATCGTTATATGCATTTCTGGTAGTGTTATTATGCAAGGCACTTTACCTTAGTTGCTCTGGTCCTCTTGTGTGATATCCAGTTAAGTAGTCACTAGCTTTAACAAACAAACACTATGAAATGACCCTGGCTGTTCACAGGGCAATTAACTAAACAAACAAACCTTTGGAAGGATAGGGATGAGGACCAATAGGGGAAATAGAGACATGTATAGGGAAGTGTTAATAGAATCCATCTTTTTATACAGAAAATGTCTTTTATTTGAATATTGTTTGTAGCTTATAAACAGATGGTCTATTATCAATGTGAAGAGGGATGAGGCACAGTAGGGGAAATAAATCATAAATTTAAGTTGAGTGTTCTGTTAATGTACCTACTTTGAATCATATTTGAATCATTAGAAAGTTAGATGTTATGACAACCTTTCATCCCTCATGGTACTGATGGATGGATCCTAAAATGAGGAATTATTAAACAGAAAATGTTTTGTACTGATCCCTAAAATATCCAGGTAATCCATGCAGGCCCTTCCTGTCTGTTTCATTTTCAGCAAGATATGCCATCCATGATTTTGACAGTCTGTCTTTACAGGAAGGTAAGGGAAAGGAGGATGATAAGGTGTACAAAGGCTTAAACAACTACCAGGTGTTTTATGAGAAGCGTGACACAGCTCAGGGCAACGCCTCCAGTGGGATGGTCAGGTGAGATTACTGTACTGTCAAACCATACTGTAAATATAACATGTTTACATATACTTACCACACACTTAGGGCCTTGACCTTAGAAATGGCTACTGACTTCAGAGAGTCCTTAATTTCTGCCAGATATGAATGTAAATGTGAAGCACATGAAACTTAACATAATTTGAATTCATCAATCCTTGATCATCAGGATTCTTTTGAAATGATTCCTTAGTACACAATATACTGAGAATATCATTCTTTCAGAAAAGGACCAATCCGTGCTCCAGCAAACCTTCGTGCCACAGTAAGATGGGATTACCAACCTGACATCTGTAAAGACTATAAAGAAACAGGATTTTGTGGATTTGGGGGTCAGTGTTACTATATAAATGTACATATATCCTTATCATATATTTCAAGGCTTGCCATCATTTGTTGTCACCAGGGAAAGATCAATCTTTCAAGTTTTAGTATTAGGAAAAGTATATACTTGTATGTTCTAGTATTGCAGATGGTTCCATCATGGTACACTTCATGTTGTCTCCTATATATATATAACAGACTAGTAAAAAAAGAATTGACAAATGAAAATTTTAGATCATTGCATATAAATGTGTAATAGGAGTGGGTTGGTGTGGCTTGTATATAATGTTAAGTACAGTCTCTGTCACTCAGCTGATAGAGCATGCTTCTTTGACTCAGTTGATAGAGGCAGTCGATTATCACACCAGAGACCTGAGTTTGATTCCTAGTCGGGGTACTTGACAGGAATGTGTATTTTTTCCCTGTTATTTTGTACCTGTATATATCTTAATTTGAGGTGTAATATCAAACTCCTGAAATCTCAACACTCTGTAGCAGGATGTGTACTGAAATAAGGTTTTGTGTCCATTCATTGGTCTGAGTTTTCTCTGAAGATGTAGCTAGTCTGAATGGACAGCCAAATTGAAATTCATAGAACTTCACCGCTGTACTCGGCAGATTTAAAAATGGTGATCACACACTCTCTTATTGATCCAGGTTTTATTATCAAAGTTGTGTCCTTTCTGTAACGATGCAATCATATGTTTGTAAAACTACATCTATTGAATACAAACGTCGTCAATTGTCTGAAGTTGTGTATCTGCACATTATTCTTAAAGTAATTGTCATGTATCTGTTATGAAATTATGCCTGTTTTTCAAGATTTTTGACTAGACCATGTTCAGACCTCATACCTACTGATCTTTTTCAATTGGGTGTAATTTCTTTGACATAATTATGAAATTTAAACCTGTAATACAGACTTGCTCTGAATCTCCTGTTAGAAATTATTCCACTTGAACAGAATCTCAGATTTTGTGACAATAAAATCAAGGTTTTTAAAACAAAAAAAAGTACTATGCTTGTAAAATTGTTACATACTTGTTTTTGAGGTTGATTTGTAGAGCTTGGAACTTTTGTGGATTTGATAAATCTTGGCTGAATCAATTTAATGTTGGTCATGTGAGCAGTATCACAGATACTTTGTACATGTGATGTTGACCTTAGGTAATATCAACCTAGTGCATATGATTTACTTCTGATTTCAGATTCATGCAAGTTTTTTCATGACAGAGGTGATTATAAACATGGCTGGCAGCTTGAGCGCGAAATGGAAGAAGGGAGATATGGAAAAAATGGTAAGATACATCATAGTCAAGTACATGGTATGAGTGAGTGAGTGAGTGAGGAAGTGGGTACAACAGTTAAGTCTGTGATATGAGTGAGTAAAGAAGTGGGTACAACAGTTAAGTCTGTGATATGAGTGAGTGAAGAAGTGGGTACAACAGTTAAGTCTTTGATACGAGTGAGTGAAGAATTGGGTACAACAGTTAAGTCTGTGATACGAGTGAGTGAAGAAGTGGGTACAACAGTTAAGTCTGTGATATGAGTGAGTGAAGAAGTGGGTACAACAGTTAAGTCTGTGATATGAGTGAGTGAAGAAGTGGGTACAACAGTTAAGTCTGTGATATGAGTGAGTGAAGAAGTGGGTACAACAGTTAAGTCTGTGATATGAGTGAGTAAAGAAGTGGGTACAACAGTTAAGTCTGTGATACGAGTGAGTGAAGAAGTGGGTACAACAGTTAAGTCTGTGATATGAGTGAGTGAAGAAGTGGGTACAGCAGTTAAGTCTGTGATACGAGTGAGTGAAGAAGTGGGTACAACAGTTAAGTCTGTGATGTGAGTGAGTGAAGAAGTGGGTAGAACAGTTAAGTCTGTGATACAGTTAAGTCTGTGATATGAGTTAGGAAAGACGTGGGTACAGCAGTTAAGTCTGTGATATGAGTGAGTAAAGAAGTGGGTACAACAGTTAAGTCTGTGATATGAGTCTGTGATACGAGTGAAGTACAACAGGATACAACAGTGGGTTAAGTCTGTGAAGAATATGTTAAGTCTGTGATACAAGTGAAGAAGTGGGTGAAGAAGTGGGTACAACAGTTAAGTCTGTGATATGAGTGAGTGAAGAAGTGGGTACAACAGTTAAGTCTGTGGTACGAGTGAGTGAAGAAGTGGGTACAACAGTTAAGTCTGTGATATGAAGTGAGTAAGTCTGTGATAGAAGTGGTACAACAGTACAACAGTTGAAGAAGTGGGTACAACAGTTAAGTCTGTGATATGAGTGAGTGAAGAAGTGGGTACAACAGTTAAGTCTGTGATATGAGTGAGTAAAGAAGTGGGTACAACAGTTAAGTCTGTGATATGAGTGAGTGAAGAAGTGGGTACAACAGTTAAGTCTGTGATATGTGAGTGAAGAAGTGGGTACAACAGTTAAGTCTGTGATATGAGTGAGTGAAGAAGTGGGTACAACAGTTAAGTCTGTGATATGAGTGAGTGAAGAAGTGGGTACAACAGTTAAGTCTGTGATACGAGTGAGTGAAGAAGTGGGTACAACAGTTAAGTCTGTGGTACGAGTGAGTGAAGAAGTGGGTACAACAGTTAAGTCTGTGATATGAGTGAGTGAAGAAGTGGGTACAACAGTTAAGTCTGTGATATGAGTGAGTGAAGGAGTGGGTACAACAGTTAAGTCTGTGATATGAGTGAGTGAAGGAGTGGGTACAACAGTTAAGTCTGTGATATGAGTGAGTGAAGAAGTGGGTACAACAGTTAAGTCTGTGATATGATTGAGTGAAGAAGTGGGTACAACAGTTAAGTCTGTGATATGATTGAGTGAAGAAGTGGGTACAACAGTTAAGTCTGTGATACAAGTGAGTGAAGAAGTGGGTACAATAGTTAAGTCTGTGATATGAGTGAGTAAAGAAGTGGGTACAACAGTTAAGTCTGTGATATGAGTGAGTGAAGAAGTGGGTACAACAGTTAAGTCTGTGATACGAGTGAGTGAAGAAGTGGGTACAACAGTTAAGTCTGTGATACGAGTGAAGAAGTGGGTACAACAGTTAAGTCTGTGATATGAGTGAGTAAAGAAGTGGGTACAACAGTTAAGTCTGTGATATGAGTGAGTGAAGAAGTGGGTAGAACAGTTAAGTCTGTGATACGAGTGAGTGAAGAAGTGGGTACAACAGTTAAGTCTGTGATATGATTGAGTGAAGAAGTGGGTACAACAGTTAAGTCTGTGATATGAGTGAGTGAAGAAGTGGGTACAACAGTTAAGTCTGTGATACAAGTGAGTGAAGAAGTGGGTACAACAGTTAAGTCTGTGATATGATTGAGTGAAGAAGTGGGTACAACAGTTAAGTCTGTGATATGAGTGAGTGAAGAAGTGGGTACAACAGTTAAGTCTGTGATATGATTGAGTGAAGAAGTGGGTACAACAGTTAAGTCTGTGATATGATTGAGTGAAGAAGTGGGTACAACAGTTAAGTCTGTGATACAAGTGAGTGAAGAAGTGGGTACAACAGTTAAGTCTGTGATATGATTGAGTGAAGAAGTGGGTACAACAGTTAAGTCTGTGATATGATTGAGTGAAGAAGTGGGTACAACAGTTAAGTCTGTGATATGAGTGAGTAAAGAAGTGGGTCCAACAGTTAAGTCTGTGATATGATTGAGTGAAGAAGTGGGTACAACAGTTAAGTCTGTGATATGATTGAGTGAAGAAGTGGGTACAACAGTTAAGTCTGTGATATGAGTGAGTGAAGAAGTGGGTCCAACAGTTAAGTCTGTGATATGATTGAGTGAAGAAGTGGGTACAACAGTTAAGTCTGTGATATGAGTGAGTGAAGAAGTGGGTACAACAGTTAAGTCTGTGATATGAGTGAGTGAAGAAGTGGGTACAACAGTTAAGTCTGTGATATGAGTGAGTGAAGAAGTGGGTACAACAGTTAAGTCTGTGATATGAGTGAAGAAGTGGGTGCAACAGTTAAGTCTGTGATATGAGTGAGTGAAGAAGTGGGTACAACAGTTAAGTCTGTGATACGACTGAGTGAAGAAGTGGATACAACAGTTAAGTCTGTGATATGAGTGAGTGAAGAAGTGGGTACAACAGTTAAGTCTGTGGTACGAGTGAGTGAAGAAGTGGGTCATGATTCTGAAGATGAAGATTTTAAATCAGACTCGAAGAAATGTAATATATGAACCAATTTTGTATTAAATGAGAAATGAAAATATACATTATTTTGTTGGTAAATGGATACTATTTCATGGTCTGTTGACTGAAAATATGAAATTGATGTTCAGATTTTAAGTATATGGGTTCTTTTTGCAATTTTGATATGATATTGTTATCAAGAAAACCAATTTAGATGTAGATTTTGTTTTGTAGATGAGGGGAATTATGAGATAAGTAGTGATGAAGACGACCTGCCATTCAAATGTTTCATTTGTCGAGAATTCTTCAAAGACCCTATAGTAACAAAGTAAGTTCTCTTTCATACAAAATGTACCTACAGGCCTAACAGTGACAAAGTGAGCCTCTAATATACAAAATGTACCCAATGACCTAACAGTGACAAAGTGAGCCTCTAATATACAAAATGTACCCACAGGCCTTATAGTGACAAAATGAGCCGCTTACATACAAAATGTACCCACTGGCCTAATAGTGACAAAGTGAGCCTCTTACATACAAAATGTACCCACTGGCCTAACAGTGACAAAGTAAGCCCCTTACACACAAAATGTACACACTGGCCTAATATTGACGAAGTAAGTTCTCTTTCATACAGAATACAGTTGGCTTATCTAGCTAATTATATGGAATATGCCTTGCTGAGTACACACTGCTAATAGGCATTCCTTAGGTTGTATGACATAGTCCACTTGGCTTCTGTCCATCTGTCTGTAATTTAAGAATGAGCATGAAAATTTTCATGTAATGATGAATTCAGACTATAATGAAGGTTTATAATTGTAAGAATCAAAATATTTAAAATATATCATGCTTAAGAGATCTGATTCCACGGTAGAAAAAGATGTATCTAAAACTAAGGATTTCCTAATTAATCTTTGAGATACTATCCATCGCTTGATACGAGATATCTTTTAATTTGTTACAGATGTAAACACTACTTCTGTGAAAAATGTGCACTCAGCCAGTACAGGAAGTCCAAGAGATGTTTTGTATGTGGAGAACAGACCATGGGAGTGTTTAATCCAGCTAAAGGTTTGTGTAGTATAGATAAACCCCACCAGAAGTGTGTGTAGTATAGATAAACCCCACCAGAGGTGTGTAGTATAGATAAACCCCACCAGAGGTGTGTGTAGTATAGATAAACCTGACCAGAGGTGTGTGTAGTATAGATAAACCCCACCAGAGGTGTGTGTAGTATAGATAAACCCCACCAGAGGTGTGTGTAGTATAGATAAACCCCACCAGAGGTATGTGTGTAGTATAGATAAACCCCACCAGAGGTGTGTGTAGTATAGATAAACCCCACCAGAGGTGTGTGTAGTATAGATAAACCCCACCAGAGGTGTGTGTAGTATAGATAAACCCCACCAGAGGTGTGTGTAGTATAGATAAACCCCACCAGAGGTGTGTGTAGTATAGATAAACCTGACCAGAGGTGTGTGTAGTATAGATAAACCCCACCAGAGGTGTGTGTAGTATAGATAAACCCCACCAGATAAAACCCACCAGAGGTGTGTGTAGTATAGATAAACCCCACCAGAGGTGTGTGTAGTATAGATAAACCCCACCAGAGGTGTGTGTAGTATAGATAAACCCCACCAGAGGTGTGTGTAGTATAGATAAACCCCACCAGAGGTGTGTGTAGTATAGATAAACCCCACCAGAGGTGTGTGTGTAGTATAGATAAACCCCACCAGAGGTGTGTAGTATAGATAAACCCCACCAGAGGTGTGTGTAGTATAGATAAACCCCACCAGAGGTGTGTGTAGTATAGATAAACCCCACCAGAGGTGTGTGTAGTATAGATAAACCCCACCAGAGGTGTGTGTAGTATAGATAAACCCCACCAGAGGTGTGTGTGTAGTATAGATAAACCCCACCAGAGGTGTGTGTGTAGTAAAGTAGATAAACCCCACCAGAGGTGTGTGTAGTATAGATAAACCCCACCAGAGGTGTGTGTGTAAACCCCACCAGAGGTGTGTGTAGTATAGATAAACCCCACCAGAGTGTGTAGTATGATAAACCCCACCAGAGTATAGATAAACCTGACCAGAGGTGTGTGTAGTATAGATAAACCCCACCAGAGGTGTGTGTAGTATAGATAAACCCCACCAGAGGTGTGTGTAGTATAGATAAACCCCACCAGAGGTGTGTGTAGTATAGATAAACTCCACCAGAGGTGTGTGTAGTATAGATAAACCCCACCAGAGGTGTGTGTAGTATAGATAAACCCCACCAGAGGTGTGTGTAGTATAGATAAACCCCACCAGAGGTGTGTGTAGTATAGATAAACCCCACCAGAGGTGTGTGTGGTATAGATAAACCCCACCAGAGGTGTGTGTAGTATAGATAAACCCCACCAGAGGTGTGTGTAGTATAGATAAACCCCACCAGAGGTGTGTGTAGTATAGATAAACCCCACCAGAGGTGTGTGTAGTATAGATAAACCCCACCAGAGGTGTGTGTAGTATAAAGATGAATGTGTTTAATTTCACCGGATGTGCTCTTTTCCTAAATAACTGCAAATTCAGACTCTGTTTGATTTTTAGGCTGGAAGGCTCAATTTTTTTTTCAAAGTTAACATTTTTTTCTGGATCTATTTCATATCTTCCAAAATTTCATAGGAATCTTTCTGTTTTATTATTTTGAGTCACTGTTGAGCTTTTTCACAGAATTTGTCTGGCATTTTACAATAGTATATACTTTGTATGTTAACTCATAATGTAAACAAACAAAAAAAAAAGATTGACTAATTTATAAATTTTATTTTAGATTTAATTGCTAAAATGAAAAAAGGAAATATGCAGAAGGACAACGTTGATACCAGGGACCAGAGCGGAGGAGGAAGTGATGATAGTGACTGAAATGTGGCACATAGGAATGTCAAGTAGAGAGTGATTGTGAAGAGCTTGTGATGACTTAGTGAAACATATAAGTGGGTAGAGTGAATCTGTAACTATATACTGTGACCAGTACTAGAAAATGATGACAGACATAAGCATGGGCATATACACAGGAATCTATTAAGGAATGTCATTGCTCTGTAGTGATGGAAACCTGACATGTCTTCATATTCTGGAGAAGTTTTATCAACTGTTATTAAAGACTATATCAAACCGATCCTGTGTGTACTGGTACTGTTGACTTGTCAGTCATATCTTATGTTAAAAGTAAAAACAGTCATACGTTCATCAAGAATGTAGAAATATCGCAGCAAGAAAGTCGTATGTTTATAAAAGTTGAAACACCGAACATTTCAATAATGAAGTTTATGTATGTTGATTTACCAAATATCATAACATTTATTGTAAAGGTTGAAATAAAAAATATCACAACAACATCGAATTACTTTTATGACATTTAAAATGATAAAAAACCACAACAATAAATTCATATGCCTACATCAATGTAGTTGTATTATGATTGAAATGACAAATACCATAAAGATGAAGTCGTGTATTGACTGTAAAAGTTGAAACAAAAATAACACAAAGATAAAGTCCTACATTGACAGTGAAAGTTGAAACAAAAATACCACGACAAGAAGGTCATAGATTTGTAACCCTGTTAAATACTAGCAGCAATAGACCACTTGGCTAGAGAGAACTTCTCTTTAGCTCTATCGAGTGAAGATACCACAATGTTGAAGTTATATATTGACTAGACTATAAGGTTGAAATGACAAATAACTTAACGATAAAAGTCATACATTGACTATGAATGATGAAATGAATTTACCACAACAATTAAGTCATACATTGACTATGAAAGTTGAAATGAAAATACCACAACGATAAGTTCATACATTGACTATGAAAGTTGAAATGAAAATACCACAGCATCAGATTTATAAATTGATTAAGGTTGAAATAAGAACAGTTTGAACATGGCATTACTTTCATTGAATGACCGTTATATACACAAGGAGTGTTGTTCATGAAGCAAGATGCTTACCGTTTTAAAACACCTGTTCTTATTATATGCCCCACAACAAAGTTGGGGGTATACTGGATTCAGCTTCTCTGTCCGTGGGCACGTTGATCCGTTGAAAAACTTTCTCCTGCGATGCATTCGATCGGTTAACAAATAGATGAAATTATGTGGGAATGGAGGTGTTCCCACTGATGTGACTTTGCATCCCCCCCCCCTTTCAGAGAGTTATTCCCCTTTCATATACAAATAGATATAATTTTTGTCAGGCTATGCATTTTGAAAAATAGCCGTTTTCCAGAGCATTCATTTGACTTGAGCGTTTGTTCACACCTTCAACAGTGCCATTTAAGATATAATATGGGTGTTTTCCTTCTTTAACTGAAACCCATATTTTGGTGGTGATTTTAATGTCACATTTTCAGCATTTCATTTTTGGGTGTAGCTGATTATGGACTTACTTTGCCGATTTTTTACGTAGATATTGGTATGGGGTGATGCATGCTACGAAGGCAAATTAAACAAATGATATTTTTTTTTCTTTATTGTTTGACCATGTTTTTGGACTTAAGTTTTAAAAGCATATTTTCCAGGGTTGTCTTCTGTATTTCACCATAATTTTTTTCTTAATGTCCAATTGATTTGATATTTGCTTCACATCTTTGTTGAATAGTACCATTTATCATATAATTAAGGTTTTTTTTCTTATTTGATTAAAATTAATTTTCCTCAATTTTTGATGATTTTTTCATCGTGAAGTTTTTGTAGTTAGCTCTGCTTTGTGTCTTTTCATTTACTTAATAATAGATTTAGAATGCTGATTTGTTGCATAGGTACAAATATAGAATGATACACTTATAAGACAGAAATGAAACAAATGATAAGTATTCTTTTTTTACTTAACTTTGAACACCAAATAATTTTGCAACACTGTATAATGATAATGTGTTTGACAAAGAAAGCATTTGAAAGAGAATTTTGGTGTGTGTAAAAAAGTTTGCGTTAGGTATATGTGCAGGAGTATGTGGCACACATCTGTTAATAAAGAGACACTGACGCATCCGTATGTTGAAAATAATTACCATTTATTTCGTTGTCGTCATGGTTCTAGATTTAATTTATTTATTGCTGGATATAGGATGTTGATTCTTTACATTATCATCTTGTGATTTCGCAATTATTCAATAAACTACAAATCATTGAATTATTCTTTCATTTTGAGTATCTTAAAATTGTAGGATTGAAAGTCGAAGTTTTCACTGTCCTTTTCATTAGTCTCCGTGTAAATCTCTTTTGTTGATGTGTTGTCTCTGTTTTTTGTGGTGATAAAATTCCTTTGACGTGTTGATATGTTCTTTTCTAGTTCCTGTGTGTTAAAATCATTTGTCTTCTTCCTGCTAGCTAAATGTTAGTATACTAACAATTACAACTGATTATTTCTGACAGACAAATGATGAAATTCCGATTTTGTCTGTTTGTCAATGACAGATAGATTCAAATTTTTGAACAAATACCAATTTTCGAAGACCTGTAGTTTAGTCAAAGTGCCGTTTCAATTCTTTGTTTAAATGCTCCTGTGTTTCGAACTTAGATGTTTTAAATACACTGTACCTGTATTTTTGTAATTTTTGTTTTCGAAGGTTTTGACATGTTCGTGACTTTACCTGTCTAGGAAAACTTTTCATTTGGCATTTTCCTTCACTGACCTGCCATTCAGATGAATGGTACTTAAGTGTTGATGTCTTCAACATTTTTGGGAAAAAAAACCTCTCAAATCTTTTTGTTGATTTGACTCATATTTTTTATTTGCTGGCAAGCCCCAACAATACCAGTACTATGAGGCAAATTTATGCTTAAAATATGTAGAGTAAGCTGTATTTTTGTATGGGCAGAGAAAGGTGTTTGTCTTTCTCCACTCTTGCCAAAATACAATTAATGCATATTTCAAGGTACTGACCATGTATTCTTCCTATATAGACCAATGTCAAACATTTCTCAACACCTTTCTGGCTTCAAGGATAATGATGGGATATGGTTGCTTATCAACCTCTTATACAAAATATCTCAAACAAGGCGGTGATAATCGTAATTTAAGTAGACAATTGAGCATCTCAATCTGCTGTAAGAGACAAACGTCCATTCATGAAAAATTTGCATTCTTCAAAAAGAAATTGACGGAGAGGTATACTTGTAATGATAATTAAACGAACACATAGATGCTGCACATTTAATAAGATTGTATGAGAAACCCGGAGAAGGAACTGTACCCTTGACCATGTATCTTGTATCCAGACGGTTCATTCGCGTGTTCCACCCAAACCACCTGTCCGGCCTGAAGCTGCACAACCACAAACTTGCTCCCGTTATCATAATGATTGCCGTTTGCGAAGGCTACACCGATGTTCTGACCATCTTTAAGAATATTGACGTGAAGCTCCGACTCGCTTCCATAACACATAACAGTTACGGAGAAAGCATAAAGACCAGTTATTGGAGCGGTGAAGTGACCATATCTCGAGTCATAGCCATTGCCATCGTTGGAAATAATAGTGTCGAACACTATAATTTGGCCATTGCCAAGGGCAGTTACTGTTGACAAGGAGGCAGTGAAACCAATGTTATGAAATCCTGCTCCATTGCCTGAAACTGGATACAAACGTAAACCATATCAATGAAATATCTACTAAAGCAATATAATACCTACCAGAAAATCTCTTGGATTTTGAACCAGATTCAACTTACACTTCTAGAGCAGGAGCCCACAGGGGTCAGCCTAGCTGGAAAGGTAACAAAATTTGTTGTGCACAGCAAGGATCTATATACTTGGGCAAACAAAGAAATGAAAGTCTGCTGGTCCCCTGCTGGTGGGTGTGGTCCTCAGGGACAGGATAATACATGGAAAATTTGAGCTAGCTTAGCTTTCATGAGTAACAACGAAAAACAACTAAATATGTAATAAGCGTGATAAAGTGTATTAGAAATGACCAATGACAGATTTTTTTCGTAGTGGGGTACCCCTGCCAGAGCTCAAAAAAAGGCCCCAAAAAATCATGCTAGCTCAGCTCATGGGGTAACAACTTAAAACCAGCCTCAAATTTATCAGTGGGGCCCACTTTAACAGAAAAGAGCAGTGACAGACATTTTCACTGGTGGGGGGGGGGGGGGGGGTCTGAGCCAGACACCCCAAAGTACCACGCCCTACAGCTGAGCTACCTCAGCTCATGGGGTAACAACTTAAAACTAGCCTCAAATTTATCAGTAGGGCCCACTTTAACAGAAAAGAGCAGTGACAGACATTTTCACTGATGGGGGGTCTGAGCCAGACACCCCTAAGTACCACGCCCTACAGGTGTTAGTATACTGGCAAATACAACTGTTAATTTCTGACAGACAAATGATGAAATTCCGATTTTGTTTGTTTGTCAATGACTGATAGATTCAAATTTTTGAACAAATACCAATTTTCAAAGACCTGTAGTTTAGTCAAAGTGCCGTTTCAAAAACTTTTCGTTTGGCATCTTCCTTCACTGACCTGCCATTCAGATGAATGGTACTTAAGTGTTGATGTCTTCAACATTTTTGGGGAAAAAAACTCTCAAATCTTTTTGTTGATTTGACTCATATTTTTTATTTGTTGGCAAGCCCCAACAGTACCAGTACTATGAGGCAAATCTATGCTTAAAATATGTAGAGAATACATGATAATTGCCTTAAAATATAAGCTGTATTTTTGTAAGGGCAAAGAAAGGTGTTTGTCTTTCTCCATCCTTGCCAATAAACAATTTATGCATATTTCAAGGTATTCTTCCTATATAGACCAATGTCAAACATTTCTCAACACCTTTCTGGCTTCAAGGATAATGATGGGATATGGTTGCTTTTCAACCTCAAATAAAAATATCTCAAACAAGGCCGTAATAATCTTAATTTAAGCAGACAATTGAGTATCTCAATCTGCTGTAAGAGACAAACGTCCATTCATGAAAAAATTGCATTCTTCAAAAAGAAATTGACGGAGAGGTATACTTGAAATGATAATTAAACGAACACATAGATGCTGCACATTTAATAAGACTGTATGAGAAACCCGGAGAAGGAACTGTACCCTTGACCATGTATCTTGTATCCAGACGGGTCAATCGCATGTTGCACCCAAACCATCTGTCCGGCCTGAAGCTGCACAACCACAAGCTTGCTCCCGTTATCATAATGATTGCCGTTTGCGAAGGCTACACCTATGTTCTGACCGTCTTTAAGGATATTGACGTGAAGCTCCGACTCGTTTCCATAACACATAACAGTTACGGAGAAAGCATAAAGACCAGTTATTGGAGCGGTGAAGTGACCATGTCTCGAGTCATAGCCATTGCCATCGTTGGAAATAATAGTGTCGAACACTATAATTTGGCCATCACCAAGGGCAGTTACTGTTGACAAGGAGGCAGTGAAACCAATGTTATGAATTGCTGCTCCATTGCCTGAAGCTGGATACAAACGTAAACCATATCAATGAAATATCTACTAAAACAATATAATACCTACCAGAAAATCTCTTGGATTTTGAACCAGATTCAACTTACACTTCGGTTTACCACCAAAATAGGACAGAAAAGATCGAGTTAAAATGATAGGGTTAGGATTCTGAAGGATCTGGTCGCTTAACTCAGCAAAGATACATCCTATAGTTATTCATGAATGCCATTGTCCAGATCATACACATATTTCAATTTAAGAGCAAAGGACAATGCATTCTTCGAGACTGGTCTTAACCTCTTTGAAGTTCTTCAAAATCCACACCCATTACTATCATTTATTAGATATATCGATGGGAATACGAGTGTTACTATCATTCAATATTTCTGCGAATAGTAAAGATAAAGATTTAGATGAGTAACTGGAAACGTCACCGATACACGGTAAAAAAAATGTTAAGCATAGGTAAACAATAAAACAGGGAAATATCAGAATTAGCGACATTATAGCAAGTAGATTAAAAATATGTTTTGGAAGTTATTTTATTTTTTTATCAATCAAGTTCTACCGATCGTGCAAATCGTTGAAACTGGATTTGCTATCGAGATTCACAGATGTCGTCGATGTGTTGCTATTTCAATGGTAAATAATACATGTTTGATTACCATCGCTGTGTCAGTCTGGTTTTTTCTTTTATGTTTTGCGAATGCTTTTAACATTGATTTCAAACGTTTGTTTCATTCATTTCGGAATGTTTGACTCATTATGTGAGGGTTTGTAGACCTTATATGGTGTTATATCCGGCCAGTATGCTTTCTAGTTGTTGTTCAAGCAGCAAAGGATACTAGATATTATTACATTTACTATACTTCAAATAAAAGAAGTGTGCCTGATAGACTATACGGATAAGAAAAGGAGAGGATGTTTAAATGTCATTCCGAACATTGCTCTTTCGAGAGTGTGAAGCAAAATTAATAAACATTTTAGAAGCGTTCTTACCTCTTTTCTGTAGACTTGTCTTGCGAAATTTGCTTTGACCTGTGAAAGTAAAAACGAAAGTTTATAAGTTTTAGCAGTGTAAATGCTGGGAAGTTTTTTATGCGGGTGTATGTGTGTAACCCTGCATAGATTCCGGCAATGAAGTTTTTCTGGTATGTATTGACACATCAGCCGTCCATTTAGAGGGTATGTGTTATGAGACTTTTGCCTGGGTGTAGGATAAGAGTTATTTCAACCCAGGAGTCACACAATGTCGTTAAACCCGAGGATTCCACCCCATTGTGCGGCCTTGAGGGCAAATATCCCATCCTTCACTCCAACATATCAACAATATTTTTCTCATTTATCATTTTAAAATAGCTTCAGGCATAGAAAATGTAATACAAAGGACACCATATATAATACGGAAATCCTTTTTATTGTGCAATTCATCGACTAATTGACATAGAAAACGAATTTTCCGAAACTAGATCTTGTAAAGTTTGCCCAAGAAAACAACATATAAACAGTCACTGAAAATGACTATTTCAGGCGATGACGTCAGTTGGAAAGGGACAGTCCCATTTCTTGTCACGCTTGCATGTATTGCAGGGATAAGAGTGTAATACAGCGAACCTGGGTATATTGTCCTGGACTGCCAAGTATTACATAGATAGAGAGAAAATAACAGCTAGCCACAGCAGTTATTCATTTTTAATTACTTTTGTGAAAAATAAATCTTAATAATCACGGTCTTACAATCACTGTTCTTTTCCACAATTTTTGTTTTAAGATATTTATTTGATGTTCTTTGCAATATGATTGATCAATTTACTGATTCTACATACGCTTTAGCTCCTGGTTTTCCTCCTTATCTTCTAGAATATGCGTTTCGGAGTGTTCTGCAAAGCAAACGAAATTTGTTGAACAAATAGTGGATACATTTGTATGTGTTAATCATATAGTTATGTACATAGCATCATTTTTTCAGACTGACTTGATGGAATGAGAAAGAATTTGAACTGTTGACAGTGGCACTTTTCTGGTACTAGTAGAAGATTCAGTGCTGTATCATTTATCCTATCTTGTTTCCCTGATGCTTTCTTGTTCACGGACACTAATATATCATAATTCTTATTGAAGCTGACTTTCAATAAAGCGATTGTCAACATGCTAGGGCACAAATGATAAAGTAAGTTTTTAATAATTTGCTGTTGACCTCCGACGTTTGCTCTGATCTTTAAAATTGAACACGAAAAAGTATTGGTGTGATGGGGTAGCGCAGGGAAAACAATTGCATTTCACCTGTAGACATCCTGGTCCTCAAGAGTGATTACTTTCAGTAGGTATCTTGTTTCGCAATTGTAATATAAACCTAATTTTTTTTATATTAAAACAAGAATAATTGTAATATCTTCACACAGAACATTCGCAATGCTCACTATTTAACAATGTGTGTTGATATATTTTGATAATTTATCGGATTATCAATATATACTGGATATTCTTTGAGAAATTGAGAGGAAGATCTCACGTTTTAACTCCCGGTGTTCCGCTTCACCTTTCTCGAAATGTTCTGTGGAAGAAATCGATTATCATAAGAACCAAAATAAACCGAATCTTTATCAATGTTAGTAACTTTTCAGTGTGGATTAAACCTATTGGAAAGACGCATTCGATCTTGATGTGGTATGATAACGCTAGTGATTTTAGTCTTTGTTGTAAAATGGTAAGAACTGCGCTTTGAATTTGGTTCCATGGATATAATATGATAATCTGTTTCTGTGATGGTAATCTCTGACTGGGATGTAAAACATCTTTCCACTCTTTCAAGAGTTTTCACTATCATCTAGATACAATTTCAATATTAATTGGATACATTTTCACTATCATCTGGACATATTTTCACTATTATCTGGATACAATATCAATATTAATTGGATACATTTTCCCTATTATCTAGATACAGAACCATTCGGTACTTATTCATGAAACATGAACATGTTTCTGATATTCGTATTACGCTTATCTTACTCATATTAGAATTAAGAGATAGAAACCATCTGTTTTATATCAAGCACACCCCATAAGCGGACGAGGAAAAGTTGGTTTTATAACAATCCAAGAGAAAATATGACATGGAAGCATGTACAACTTAAGCAAGTAATGTCTGTAACGTTCTTGTTTGCTAACAAAAACATCATTATAATGGACTTTAATTAAATGGACATACGTTTCAGCTCCACATTTTCCGCTTCAACTTCTTGAACACGCTTCTCGAGATCGACTTGAAAAAAAGAGATTAAAGAATCAAATACTGGTAATGTGGATCTGAAAATATATTTGTAACTTTCCCTTTTAAATCGTTTAAAACGATTTTCTGAAAAATGTATAGTATTCATATGCATGATTATTTGATTCTTCATTTTGTGAATTCTGGAAAGTAATATTAACCAGAGGAAAAAAGACACATATCACGTGATATATTAGTGTAGTATTAAGTGGACAGATATACAGATAATCAAAACCAATATCACATTTAGTCTATATGATATAGCAATTTATTGTTTGAAAGTTGCTCTTGTTTCTAGTTTACCAATTAGAATGAGGCAGCCGTATTGACTATTTCTTGAAATAGTTTTGGCTAAATCTTTCTCTTTTTATGTACGTTTCTCTTTGGCCTTTGTGATGTTTTTTTTATATTTGAGACGGATAAAATGCTTTTTGAGAATGAACGTTTGTCATTGCATTTTTTAAAGAAGTACCATCTGGAGGATAGGCATCATCTGAAAATTCACATTGGTTCCTGCAATTTTATTTCTAGACTGATTGAAAACAGGAACTGTCAAACATGTGTCTATTTAGATGTTAAACAGTTCAAGTTGTTATCACTATTTCGTCAAAATAGTACTTGAGGAGTTGTTATTAAAGTTCATTAGTAGTTTCTTCACGGTCATATACATTGTGCCCTAGGTAGAGATGTTTTATCCAACCTTTTTGCCGCTATCGTTGACCTATTAATACACCATCAAGATACTGATGGCTTCTCTTGTGTGTAAACAATTTTAAATTTATGTTGAATTGAAGTGTCTTTTACTTACCACAGTACTGTAACGTTGTGGAAAGTGTTTACAACAATGTATCGGTCATGATGACCACAAGTACCTACAGTCGGGGCAACAACATTTTACCTTATAGTCAGAAATATCAACAACTTAGCAGCATTTAAAATATGTTGTAGAACTCATTCTTATTAAGAACTAGAACAGATGGTCTTTCTCACATAGTTACCACGTCAAGATAGGACAAAAGTGTTGTCTTACTGATTTTTTCCCCCTGTTGGTGTATCTGTTCTTGCTGCTTCTGGAAGACTGCCTGTAGTGTCTGTACTTGTTCCTGGAGAGCAGAGAAGGCTTCTTGAGAAATTACCATGTCACATGTAACTGGTACAACGACAAAGTATACACAGATTAACTGTAAAATATTGTAGGCCATTATCGTTGCTTTTTCAGATCCTAATATTTATCGAGAACTTAACCTCTCCCGTAGAGATAAGGTCTCGCATTATCAAGTTCACCAATGTAGGTCATAATTTGCAAAAACATATAGATAATTCCTGCTAATACGTAGTATTCTGCCTGGAATCTATAAGTTATTATCGATAAAAGATATTTAAAAAAAAAATTTTTTTCAATACTCAGCTGCAACAACCAGATTTGCAACACAAAAATCTTTTTTGTGATAATGATAAGACGCACCACAGCACTGAACTCGTCTGTTGATTATCCTAACATGTATTATAATAATAAAGATAAACCTTTACTTTTACCTTTATGATATAAAATAGAAAATCATATTGATGATGTCTTTAACTTCAGCAATCATATACTTACGTGTTCCGGATTGTTCAGCATGGCTCCAGTGATGTGCATGCTATTTTATTCCCTTTCCAGGGAACAAAAATGAATAATTTTGGATAAAAACAAGTGGCCTCAATATAAACCGATATATTAAAACTCCATAAAATATTTCTAAAAAAAATTCAAAACGTTTGGAATATTTACACCCTTAGTGTTTTAAGAGGTATTTTCCAATAACTCGATACATGAGTTTTGTCGATATCTAAAATATATAAGTTTAAATCAATACATGGGTTTTGTCGATATCTAAAATATATAAGTTTAACTAGATACATGGGTTTTGTCGATATCTTAAATATATAAGTTTAACTAGATACATGGGTTTTGCCGATATCTAAAATATATAAGTTTAACTAGATACACGGGCTTTGTCGATATCTAAAATATATAAGTTTATTATTGTATGCTCTAAAAGAGACCAGCTGTGCATTACCTTTGGGATTCTAATGATCACTATGTATTATGTATATATCAGTTAGGTTTTATAGCGGAATTGATGAACACAATGTTAAATTCGCTAAATTGTCAAAATCTAAATCCGCAGTTCATAGGTATGTATCTAGATGTGACCCAGGTAGTACAACTCGTGTGGTGACATAATTGCTTAATGTGTTTATTGTGGTGTAAGTACATCTATCATTAAAATAAGTCATTAAACCGAGTTTTATCACATAAAATCTGAAATAATTGGCTTCTTTAGGCGAGGATTTATGGTTATGCTTACACTGTTTCCTTTTGACCGCCGGGATGCTTTACACCATCCTTCTGGAATTATTCTATTGTGGCAGCCGTAACTGTTGTTCCTTAAAACTGCATCTCTGACTACCTCCTTAGAAAAGCCTGACCCCGGTAGTTAAAGTCAAGTGGTGACATATCTGTTTAATGTGTTTATTGTGGTGTAAGTATATCTAGCATTAAAATAAAAGTCAATTTACCGAGTTTTATCCTACACAACCCTAAGTGATTTGCTACCATAAGTGAAGCATGAAGACTTGCAAAATTAGAGATGCTCATAGAAAAATCTTATTTATGATTGTAATGAGTAATGAATCAGTAATAACCAACATACACATATAACTATAATGAAACTGATTTATTTAATAATAAACATTTAATAAGCCTGTACGAGGAACCCGGAGAAGGAACTGTATCCGTCGCCATTTATCTTGTATCCAGACGGGTCAACCGCGTGTTGCACCCAAACCATCTGTCCGGCCTGAAGCTGCGCAACAACAAGCTTGCTTCCGTTATCAAAATGATTGCCGTTTGCGAAGCCCACGCCTATCACCTGACCATCCTTTACAATGTTGATGTGTAGATATGACTCGCTTCCAGAACACATAATGGTTACGGAGAAAGCGTAAAGGCCAGTAATTGGAGCGGTGAAACGACCATATCTGGAGTCGTAGCCATTGCCATCGTTGGAAATAATTTTGTCGAACCGTACAATTTGGTTATCACCAAGGGCGGTGGTTGTGGACAATGAAGCGGAGAATCCAATGCTATGAGGTGCTAATCCATAGCCTGAAACTGGACACAAACAAGTTTTGTGTTTAAAAAAGGTTTAGGAAGCTCTGAAATATATGGTCGTCATATTCAAATTATTGTCAAGAACGGAATATATTTGAAAAAAATTGCCATTAACGTTCATCATATCCGGCGGAAAATGCCATTCTATTGTAATGAATGTTCACATTTATCTAAACATATATATAGATACTTCAAAATCTACATCCAATCAATTACAAGATAAAGAGGAATAATTTATATTTCTGAGTAAAAGGAAGATGGATATGTTTGATTTCCGTTAGTTTTGCCTGTTGGTTTCGTTGTTGTGTACCTTATTTTCAGTTGAAAACGTAACATTATTTACTTGGTTTGACCACGACTTACATAGCGGGTATCGTCGATGAAGCAGAAGGCGCTTAACCTTCCGGGCAAATTCTCCTTGTATTTTTTTCATGAGTCTCCGTATAAATCTTTCTTTTGTTCATATCTTGCCATAGTTATATGGAATTTGAGTTTGAATTATGATTATGTTGCCATGTTGGTAATTTTTTATTTTTTAAATACATTTCCAGAAGCGTTCAGTGGAAGGAGTCTACTTTTACCTCTTTTCTGCAGACTTGTCTTTCGGAATTTGCTTTGACCTGTGAAAGTAAAAATGTATATTGTTAACGTTATAGAACTGTAGATGCAAGTAAGTTTTTGACTCGGATTCCTTTGTCATACACCATGACATTTTCGATAATTCTAATAAGTTTAATGTTTGCATATCAAACAAGAAAATCGGAAATCCCTTTTGCTAAAAGGTTTGATATCAGCGAAAACAGATATTTGATTAATTTTCAATTTTGATAAACATCGGGTTTGATATTTTTAAAACATTTGATATCCGACAAGGCATTTTAAAGTCTTTTCTATTCAACAAAGGGATCATTGCGAACAGGGTTGGGCAATTCTAGCAAATGTAATATCAATAATTTTTATCATTTCAGAAATACGAATTGAAAATATGGAAGTATGCAGAAATAGAAAATTATCTATTATCTGTTTTTAAGTAAAGACGATTATAGAGGAAAAAACCTCCAGATCGTACACTGCATGGATTCCACATAAAGTCTAAAGTCACAATAAAGTCTAGCGTGTATAAGCATATCATCCATGCAAGGATGTATGATGTATTGCCAACAGCTAGCCATAGTAATTATACATAAAGATAATGAACTAGAGATTGGTGGAATAGAATTCTGAACGATGGATTTATTATAAGCGTGCTAGATTTTTCTATTCAACTTTGAAATTTTAATATTTCTGGTGTTCTTGAGATGTTTATTTTTACTTTCAGTCTGATAAGATCATTTTGTCGATAAAATGTGTCTATATACTGAAATCACATACCTTTTTGCTCCAGATTGTCCTTTTTACTTTCTTGAATACCCGTTTCGAGGCGTTCTGCAAAGCAAAAGAAATTCAAAAACAAAAAATAGCGATGAGTGTTTGAAAGAAGAAAAAAATCAAACAAACAAAATCAAAAGCGAAAAAAAAGATACATTTGCAAACTCGCAACATTGTTGGAAGAGGTTTGAATTGAAACCATTGACAGTCGGTAATGTTTTTCTCGTAGTTTTAGGAGATTCGGTGCGGTATTATGAGGTAGCATGTCCCTTTCGTATTATCTTGATTTGATTTGTGACTGTAATATATCATAATTCTTACTGAAGCAGATTTTATTGAGCGTTTGCACAAATGATAGTGCACAAATGATAAAGCAAGGAAGAAAAAGTAGTCATTCTGAAAACAACGGTTACTGCTTTGCTGTTGCCGTATTTCGCGATACTTGTTCTGATATTCAAAATTGAACATGAAAGTGTATTGGTATCGGAAGCATGGATAGCAAATAGAAAATAGTATTGATTACTAACTATTTGTCTATATTTGCATACATACATATGCAAAAAGCTTCTGGTATTAGTAATTTGTCAACTTTGTTATCAAATTATGAAACAAGAGAACTCGAACAGCGCAGGGTTAGCGCACTCCCACAGTGAGACCACTTGCCCTCGTCTACCAACGCAAACAAGGGTTAGATTTTTTCCCAAGATTTATTGTGAAGTAAAGTTAATATCTAAAACACAGCTTAGAAGTTTAGCAACGATAATTATTTAAGACATTTGAATTATGCGTTGTTATGCTTTAATCCTCAACATCTAACGTTTATTCGTTGAGAAAAAACACACGTTTTAGCTCCTGAGGTTCCGCTTCACCTTTTTAGAGAAGTTCAGTTTAAGAAATCGATTATCCAAATAATCAATATGCGTTCTCTTGAACTTTAGACAATGTTGATAATAAGCCTCTCCTCTCCTTGATATTTCTATGAAAGCGAAAATATTTTGCAGGAAATGAAAAAAAAACACATAGACAAATATTCTATCATTATGCGCCATTTTCTCCATGATAACGCTATGAAATTCATGCTTTGGTGTAAAATAACAGGAAGATCTGCACTTTGAATTTGATTTATGGAAGTATTATTATTTGCCTCAATAATGTTAACCTCTGACTGGCAAGTGTTTCAATTCTATATGGATACAAAACCGCTTGTACCTATTCCTGAAATATTGATCCCTCTCATCTAAATAACGACAGTCACTTGTTTTATATCAAGTACATCCAATAAGGTGATAAGGGAAAGGTGATTTTGTTAGGAAAGGAGACAAGAGTCGTATAATATACAAACATGTGACGCTTCAACAGATAAATGTTTTTTTTTATCAAACAGAAATATCAATTTAATGAACATTAGTTGAATGGGCATACCTTTCAGCACCTGGTTTTCCTCTTCAACTACCTGAATACGTTGTTCGAGATGGACTGAAAAGATTTGATTAAAAAAAATGGCAATGTTCTTCTAAACACGTTTGATAACTTTACCCTTTCAAGTTATTTGAAACAATTATTTGAGAAAAGTACCGAATATATATGTATCATTATCGGATTCTTAATGTTGTGAATTCTGGAATGCAAATGTAGCATTTGTCAAAGGAAATAGGTACGTACTACTGTGTAGTGGATAGACATAAGATAATCAAAACCAATATCACATTAAGTCTATATGACATACTAATGTAGTAGTTTAATGTATGAAGGTTGTCCTTGCTCCATAGTGATCTCAAATCAAGTTGGAGATGAACAGCTGAGAGGCAGCCATATTGACTTGATAATTAAAAAAATGTCAACGCTATTCTTGAAAAGTGTTGTCTAAATCTTTCTCCTTTTTATATACGTTCTCGCTGGCCCTTGTGATGCCTTTTTATATCTTGAGTCATACAAAAAATAGAAATGGCTGACTGGCAGCTAAAATGCTTTTCGAGAATGAACGTTTGTCATTGCATTTTTAAAGAAGTACCATCTGGAGGATCGGCATCATATGAAGATTCCCATTGGTTCCAGTTTGTTTTTTGGACTTAATGATAACAGGAACTGCCGCTATCGCTGACCCGTTAATACATTATTTGACTGAGAAGATAACACGGAAAGAACGGGAAGCCTATACACTATTAAATATCATACAGTGTGGGCGTCAACATATTAATGGATTCTCTTGTGTATTAATTACTTTAAATTTATTTTTAACTGAAGTGTCTTGTTATTCATCTGACTGTAACGTTGCAGAAAGTGTTGTGCAATCATGTATTGGTCACGATTACCGTAAGTGCTTTCAATCGGGGCAACAAGTTTACCTTATGGTCAGAAATATTATTATCACAACATTATAGTGACATCAACATATCTTTTATACAGATACATATGTTTTTCTGTGCAACATTTTAAAATTTGTCGTAGAATTGATACCTATTTCTCTAGATGGCTACCAAACGTGATTTCAAAAGCTGTTCCGCACTGATTTAGAATTAAGAACTAGAACAGATGGTCTTTCTCACATAGTTACCACGTCAAGATAGGACAGAAGTGATGTCTTACTGATTGTTTCCCCCTGTTGGTGTATCTGTTCTTGCTGCTTCTGGAAGACTGCCTGTAGTGTCTGTACTTGTTCCTGGAGAGCAGAGAAGGTTTCTGAAGAAATTTCCGTGTCACATGCAACTGGTACAACGACAACGAGTACACAGATTAACTGTAAAATATTGGAGGCCATCATCTTTGCTTATTCAGATTCTATAATTTAGATAGACCTTTGACTTTCGAGTAGAGATAAGGTCTCACTTTATCAGGTGTGCCAATATAGGTCATAATTTGCATACAATATAGATAATTCCTGTTAAAACGCAATATTCTTGGTTTCATGGAAGCTGTGAGTAAGTTATGATTCATTCAAGATCCGTTATTATTTATCATTTTTAAATAATCTGTTTCAATAACCACTTACTCAGAAACCTTTATTGTTATAATTATGATAAGAAGTATCATAACATTGAAGTCATGTGCAAATTGATCTAGGGGTTGAATGGATTTTCTTTAATTTTCATAGGACAATGAATAATAGTAACTATATACATATCCCATCTTTCGCCTAATCACATCGGACAAGAAACCAAGAAACAGCTCCAAGATCAAGCCAATGCACAACGTCACGAATAATGAAATATTCCATCAGCAACATCCAGTTGTATCTTTTAACAAATATCGATGTGCATATTACATCAGATACACTATTCAGGTACAATTTATGTTAATATGTTGATTGAACAAAATATTAAAGAAAAGTAACTAAATGATGTCGAAACTATTTTTCATCACTGGTTACCATTGCAGCATAACATCCATTTACCCGAAATACCTGTTAAATCAAGTCATGGTCGGCCGAGCCGAGCTCATCTTTGAAATGAATAATTATGACATTGACTGTGTCAGAAAAATGCTTTCTGGATTAAAGATACCGGACACATATCTTTTCACAATATAGTTAGCTACTACATATATACAATGATAAAGATATACAGCGTGTCTCTGGTATCATAAAACGATATAGATGTTTAATTACGAAAATCTATTTCAAACAATTCGTCTGAAAATCAAACACACTACCTCCAAAATATGATCAATCAAAGTCATATCCTTGCCCAACTGTGAATCTATGACGTAACAATACCGATACAGAAGGAATGTTTCAGAAACACAGCATATCCATGACAAGCCTACATCACTTATTTTTCGTTCATTATTGCCGTTCCTGACTTGAGTAAGCATCCAACTGATTTCTCCGTTGGCCAGGAAATTGATAACCCAATTAGCAACATATTTGCTATATTTCACTTCTATTCTATCGGCTTTTGAACACTTATGACGGTAAACTTTGCAAGAATTTTTTTTTTCGCGACCATTTTTTGAAAAGTTTAGTTCTTACTGTTCCGTAGAAAATAGAATAACAAAAGTGATTCTGTCGAGTTATAATTTTGCAATCAGCTGGTCGTTTCACATGAATGGCTATATTAATAGTGTTTTCATTGTCAAATGTTTGACATTTTCAGTTGGTTGATTGAAACATAGAGAGATATCACATCGATAAAAAACAATTTTGTCAATTCATTTTCATGGAAGTCAGTCCATGATGCAAGTCATATTACCTTATGAGAGATCAAAACCAATCCCTTACCGCACGTCTTGAAGGTAGAGTTAACCATTTCAAGAGTATTCGTGTTATCAACCAAAAGAGCTTCAGGTTGCTGCCATATTTTCAGCCGCGTAGTAACTTGTCAAAGGTTCAACTCTCTGAACGTTTCACAGCAAATTATGTCTGTTAGTAACAATATTAAGTGACATTTTCTATATTAATCTTAAAACGAATTTACCTAAAATCTAAATTTGTGTTTACATATTTTCAATGATAAAAAAAACATCAAAACGGATTATATTTTGACGCGTATTGCGAAGTTATAATGAGTGAGTAGTGTCCGTGAAAAGCGTATAGTCAGCTTCGTTTTATATCTGTCCTAAATATGCCAGTAATGTGGCTATTTTTCCTTGTGAAAATGTAATTATTATAAAATACTTCATAGCGTCTTCAGTAATAACAAATATATTTCACACGTGTGTCTATTTTTTGTATAATTCACGATCTCGCAGCACGAGTGAAAGACACTAACCTATTATACACACTGTATATGTGAAGAAGTATTCTTCCAACAACTTGCTTCATAGAGTTGCTGATTTCTAAGATATATAACAGACATCTGATGTAGGAACCAACACTGGATAATAATCCGATACCTCAACAGCAACTAATATTTCTCAATTACATGTAAAACCCGATAATATCTACTATTAAATGTACTGCAAATTTATTGGTTTTATTACCTCCCTTTAACCATATATTGCCTGTCAATTCAAGTATCTCAATATATTGACCAATCTTCTATATACATGTCTATAAACCTTCATTTGTTCTCTCAGTGTAGATTCAAGTTCATCTATTGCTAACTAAAACGATTGGCGTAAGTGTAGCCTGCTAGCTGATCCAATTATATGCTTTTATTCCATAAACTTCTGTTAGGATAAAGCGAATTTTATTTTTGTAAGTAGGATTTACCGATTTTAAATTTCAATTATGATTCTGTAAAAAAGAGACATTTTCTTGATGTTTTGTCGTTAACTTCTGATCCTGTCGGTCAGACGTTCAACAGTTGTACTGTCGTAAGGTATACTGCGTGACACCTACCGTAATCCAAATTCCAAATAATGTCATTCTTATTTTACGATATTACTGTTTAAATGCCAGTCGGGGATATTTGGACTGAACGATTGGAAAATAATGTAAGCTGTTGGAAGAAATAGTGAAATAAAACGTTTTAAAAGTAAAACAAAAGTATAGTATTGGTTAAGTAACATAAACATTCGTTGAAAATGTGCATTTTATTTGATGAAAAAAAAAAAAAAAAATAAAATAAAAAAAAAAAACAGAAAATGATCGGCAGGTTATATTTTTTTAAAAGCCCAATCGAGGGCAATTCATCATTTTTTCCAGTTTAAAGGAGATGTTAAAAGGCTTTATCATATCTGGAACATTGGCATACTTTGTACGAATTTGAAAAAAAAACCAGCCGATTAAAACATGTTCCACTGTAAGAATGAAATGACGTGAATAACAAACAGGTGTATCTTCACTCGTGGAAGAAATGAATCCCTATGATAAGTATGACATGTTCGGAGACAAGAAGTAGCATCTTCTATCTTATGGCAATAAGAAAGACATTTTTCCTTTTATTTTGCTAAACTTTAGATAGTCTTTTATTAGTCTCTGGATGCCATCATTACTATCAATCATTTCTGAATGCAACAGAGAAAGTTCGTATAAGGTTTGTATCTGATGAAGTTTATTGTAAGTCTGAAAGAGTTACCAACAACTTCAACGTATCATGGAAACAACAGGAAGTTATCCGACTCTGTGTTAAAATTTAAGCAAACTAAGTTTTTGCATTTTTCGAATAGCGAAGTGAGTTTGAACACACAATTGCGTGTTTGTAACGATTATCATTAAATAAAAAATCGAGCTCCAAACTCATTACCTGTTTAAGCAGGGAATTACGAATCAGCGTCAGGAAGCAGAACGACAAGCTAGTCAAGTCGTTTCCTGTCCTTGGCCAGTTAGTTAGTGCATGATAAAAGTTGTGAAGGCTATTTTTGGAACTCTGTGAAGTGTGCTTTTCATGCACATGAAATTGTTGGTGACATGTTAAATCATGTAATGATAGGTCGCTTTGAACTGGTTTAATTATCGGCGGTGTGACAGCAGGTTTAGAGCTATGCTGAAAATTCAATGTCAAGATTATGAAGAGGTTGTTGAACTCGCTAAGTAATTGATGGAATCAGTTTGCTGTTTCGACATAATATAGATTGGGTTGAAAACTTGATCAAATGTAGAATTTTTTTAAACTTGCTTTAGTTGAAATGATATTGAAGGAATGGCTCATTAGATTCAACAGAAAAGACTATTTACAAATGTACTTAGTTGTGTTACCCATGTACTATAAAGCCGTGTTCGATAAAGGCGCGAATGCATTTCTTGGTGTGCTCCCAATCTGTGTAGGAATTGACTCACAAGATATAAAGTGCCTTGGAGCTGATTGATTTTGAGATTGAGCTGTAAAACTTTGTTTATGTTGTACAGGTTCAGGAGGTGTTGTATCCCAGCGAAAGACTCTGCCAGATGGTGTTTTGGATTTGGGCTGGATTGCTATCTCGTCAGACTGGTCATTGAATGTCTGGATTGAAACGTCTTTCATCTAAATGGTACATTTTGTACCAAGATGTTGATGTTGGCTTACCAATAGTGGGATAATTAGGGGGTTGTATTATCAAGGATAAAGGAAAACGATTGCTCCTTCCAAACAGGAGCATTTCGAGAGGAGGCCGCATGTTTACCGTGGAAGGTAATGCCAACAGTATTGCAGTCGTCATGTTCAGTATAACCCATGTGGTGACATATTTGTTTAATGTGTTTATTGTGGTATATCTATCATTAATATAAAAGTCATTTAACCGAGCTTTATCCCATACAATCCATACAAGAATTGGCTGTCTTAAGTGAAGCATGATGCTTCACCTCCACTCTTAGGCCACCACAATTAGAGATGCTCATATCATGAAATATCATATTTATGATTGTAATTAGTAATTAATCAGAAATAACCAACAGACACATGTAACTACAGAGACACTAACGCTTTTAATAATAAACATTTAATAAGCCTGTACGAGGAACCCGGAGAAGGAACTGTATTCGTCGCCATATATCTTGTATCCAGACGGGTCGACCGCGTGTTCCACCCAAACCATCTGTCCGGCCTGAAGCTGTACAACAACAAGCTTGCTCCCATTATCCGAACTGTAACCATTCGCAAAGCATTTACCTATGATTTGACCGTCCTTGACGATACTGGTGTGAAGATTTGACTCGCTTCCATGACACATAACAGTTACGGAGAAAGCATAAAGGCCAGTTATTGGAGCGGTGAAGTGACCATGTCTCGAGTCATAGCCATTGCCATCGTTGGAAATAATAGTGTCAAACATTATAGTTTGGCTATCACCAAGGGCAACGGTTGTGGATAATGAAGCGGAGAATCCGACACTCGCACGTGCAGCTCCATCGTCTGAAACTGAACATAATTAGCGATATACTTGCACGTGAGATTCAATGAATTTCGATTCTAGTTGGATTTCAGCAAGGAAAGGAGCAATGTCATATTCTATGAGTTTTATGTAACTGGCAATGGTTTTTCGTTATGTTGTAGAAATGACTCTTTAATCATAAGCCCTTTCGAGTTCTTCAAAATCCATGTTCTAGTAACTCCACATTTAACTAGCCCTGAGAATCGTGTAGACTGTAGACTCGCACTTACCAACCACACAATTACTTACGGCACACTTACAAACGACAACTTACCAAAGACAACTTACCAATTTCACACTTACCAACCAGCAACCACATATTTATCAACCACACACTTACCAACCACACACTTACTTACGGCACACTTACAAACCACAACTTACCAATTTCACACTTACCAACCACACACTCACCAACCACTCCCTCATCAATTACACATTATCAACCACACGCTTACCAACCAAATACCAAGCACATGTCAAGCAGAATAAGTACTCATTGTAATATCAAATATACATAAGAATCATTTAAATCGCTACCTTTAAAGCAAAAGCATTCAAGTTGAGATTGGATACTTATCTATTCCAACTTACAAACATCATTCAACTACCATTTAAAATTGTATAAAAAAAAACCTGTGAATTATACGTTTTAACACAATTTAGAGTAAGATAAAGTTGTGCAAAAAACAATCACTTATACTGCGTCATACAGCTGTTTCTCCACTGAATCTTTCTCCATTTAATCTTTATCTACGGATCACTGAAATAACACCTGATGTATGTAAATCAGCAATATCAAGCGTTTTAATAGCATTTCTGACTGAAATTGATGAGCATTTTGAAAGTATTTTTTTAATGTATTCTTTAAATTCATGATTACTACTTATACTTATGTAGTAGTAATTAATTTGTTAACTTATTATATACTATGTTAAGAGGACCAACTCCAATATAGATGAAAAAACTGAAATACCATTTTATAAACCTCTCAAAGTTAACCATGAACTTACCTATCAACATAGAAAATGCAGAATTGTTGATAAGTTATTATGCATATCCTTGGGTGGATGGTCGAAGTGTTTATACACATGGACTTTATGACCTGAATCCCTGGATTCTTGCATGGTAAATTATCAGTAAACCTGTATTTTTTCAACTTATTTATAATCTTATGAAAAATAATCTGACATAATTTAAAATCCTATGAAAAATAAGCTGACATAATGAACTACTTCACGTTCCACAATAAATTGGAGTTACCGCCCTTTACTTGTTATATCCTAATTTAATATATACAATATTTTACTCACTGGATTTGCTTGCAGATAAATGTAATGTATTTATGTATTAATTCTGGAAAGGACTGATATAGGCTCAGCCTGTTGTCCAATCCGTTTAACATATGGAATGTTAATAAAATTTTGTTGAAATTGAAATACAGCTGTTTCCTCCTTCTAGAACCTGTCAGTGATGCTAAGTACCTACGTTTTGAAACTTAGCTATTAGGAAAACCATAAGTGATGAAAAAAGTCAATATTTAGACAAGGATTATACGCTGTTAGTTTTATCTGCCTAATGGCCAATAAAGTGAAGCGCCATGCATCAAGAAAATAAGACACAGACAAAGACATTGCCACGGTCGTTTTCAGCAGCACTTGGAAGAAATGAAAATGTTGATTTCTGTGGTGGTTTGTTTCAACGGTGAAATTAAACAAATCCATTAAAGATTCGTCGACAAGGCAAATGGATTAAAAGAATTACCTCTTTTCTGATGACTTTCCTTGGGAACTTGGCATTGATCTGTAAAATTGAATATGTAAAGGTACAATGCATTACCTACAGCGTTTTAAAAACATAACTATCATAGTATGATGAGTCAATGGTTTCCATTTTTGTCCAACTATATGATAATAAAAAATTATTAAGACTTGTATAATACAATCGTTCACATTTTCACACAAAGCTGAAAGTTTAATTATGAAAATTTGAAGAAAAGATTGCAAAAATTATATAACTACATATTGTATTGTTTACTTCCTTGATTTTCAAGTTCAATTTCAACAAATGTTATTGATCTATAATCTTAAGGTAAGTCGCTTTGAAGTCAATCATGTTGTTCTATTTTTTGCTTTTCTTGAAATGGTCATCTTTTAATGAAAAGAACATATTTTGATCCATGGGATCAAGACAACAATGTGTGCGCTTAACAACATATCGACTGTCAATACTGATTTAAGTTATACTGTCAACAACTAGACATTTTGTTAAATTGTATGATGTAATAGTCATTGCGAAGATGGTAGTTTTTAAACTAATGTTAATTATTATTCCTTGTATATGATAATCCATTCAGGATTAGATGAATAATTAAATTCCAAATCAATTAATGAGTTGTAAACATAAGTGTATACTTTTGAAAATTGATACTTAACATAATGTTTTTTTTTCATTTTAAAGATACTTAAACGTAACAGCTCCATTTTGTAATGCTAATTTAAAGGTCATTAAGATTTACATAGATTCTAAATCTCAAACTCCTCAGTCGTTACAGTGGTCAATATCATGTATGTAACTAACACGTCACTGTGGTCAATATCAAGTATGTAACTAACACGTCACTGTGGTTAATATCAAGTATGTAACTAACACGTCACTGTGGTCAATATCATGTATGTAACTAACACGTCACTGTGGTCAATATCATGTATGTGACTAACACGTCACTGTGGTCAATATCATGTATGTGACTAACACGTCACTGTGGTATCAAATATGTGACTAACACGTCACTGTGGTCAATATCATGTATGTGACTAACACGTCACTGTGGTCAATATCAAGTATGTAAATAACACGTCACTGTGGTCAATATCATGTATGTAACTAACACGTCACTGTGGTCAATATCATGTATGTAACTAACACGTCACTGTGGTCAATATCAAGTATGTAACTAACACGTCACTGTGGTCAATATCATGTATGTGACTAACACGTCACTGTGGTCAATATCATGTATGTAACTAACACGTCACTGTGGTCAATATCATGTATGTAACTAACACGTCACTGTGGTCAATATCATGTATGTAACTAACACGTCACTGTGGTCCATATCATGTATGTGACTAACACGTCACTGTTGTCAATATCATGTATGTAACTAACACGTCACTGTGGTCAATATCAAGTATGTAACTAACACGTCACTGTGGTCAATATCAAGTATGTGACTAACACGTCACTGTGGTCAATATCATGTATGTAACTAACACGTCACTGTGGTCAATATCAAGTATGTAACTAACACGTCACTGTGGTCAATATCATGTATGTGACTAACACGTCACTGCGGTCAATATCAAGTATGTAACTAACACGTCACTGTGGTCCATATCATGTATGTGACTAACACGTCACTGTGGTCAATATCAAGTATGTGACTAACACGTCACTGTGGTCCATATCAAGTATGTGACTAACACGTCACTGTGGTCAATATCATGTATGTGACTAACACGTCACTGTGATCAATATCATGTATGTAACTAACACGTCACTGTGGTCAATATCATGTATGTAACTAACACGTCACTGTGGTCAATATCAAGTATGTAACTAACACGTCACTGTGGTCAATATCAAATATGTAACTAACACGTCACTGTGGTCAATATCATGTATGTGACTAACACGTCACTGTGGTCAATATCAAATATGTAACTAACACGTCACTGTGGTCAATATCAAATATGTAACTAACACGTCACTGTGGTTAATATCATGTATGTAACTAACACGTCACTGTGGTCAATATCAAGTATGTGACTAACACGTCACTGTGGTCAATATCATGTATGTGACTAACACGTCACTGTGGTCAATATCATGTATGTGACTAACACGTCACTGTGGTCAATATCATGTATGTAACTAACACGTCACTGTGGTCAATATCATGTATGTAACTAACACGTCACTGTGGTCAATATCATGTATGTGACTAACACGTCACTGTGGTCAATATCATGTATGTGACTAACACGTCACTGTGGTCAATATCATGTTTGTGACTAACACGTCACTGTGGTCAATATCAAATATGTAACTAACACGTCACTGTGTGACTAACACGTCACCATATCATGTATGTCACTGTGTCAATATCATGTATGTGACTAACACGTCACTGTGGTCCATATCATGTATGTATCTAACACGTCACTGTGGTCAATATCATGTATGTATCTAACACGTCACTGTGGTCAATATCATGTATGTAACTAACACGTCACTGTGGTCAATATCAAATATGTAACTAACACGTCACTGTGGTCCATGTCATGTATGTGACTAACACGTCACTGTGGTCAATATCAAGTATGTAACTAACACGTCACTGTGGTCAATATCAAGTATGTGACTAACACGTCACTGTGGTCAATATCATGTATGTGACTAACACGTCACTGTGGTCAATATCATGTATGTGACTAACACGTCACTGTGGTCAATATCATGTATGTAACTAACACGTCACTGTGGTCAATATCATGTATGTAACTAACACGTCACTGTGGTCAATATCATGTATGTAACTAACACGTTACTGTGGTCAATATCAAATATGTAACTAACACGTCACTGTGGTCAATATCATGTATGTGACTAACACGTCACTGTTGTCAATATCATGTATGTAACTAACACGTCACTGTGGTCAATATCATGTATGTAACTAACACGTCACTGTGGTCAATATCAAGTATGTAACTAACACGTCACTGTGGTCAATATCAAGTATGTAACTAACACGTCACTGTGGTCAATATCAAGTATGTGACTAACACGTCACTGTGGTCAATATCAAGTATGTGACTAACACGTCACTGTGGTCAATATCATGTATGTGACTAACACGTCACTGTGGTCAATATCATGTATGTGACTAACACGTCACTGTGGTCAATATCATGTTTGTGACAAACACGTCACTGTGGTCAATATCATGTATGTAACTAACACGTCACAGTGGTCAATATCATGTATGTAATTAACACGTCACTGTGGTCAATATCATGTATGTAACTAACACGTTACTGTGGTCAATATCAAATATGTAACTAACACGTCACTGTGGTCAATATCATGTATGTGACTAACACGTCACTGTGGTCAATATCAAGTATGTGACTAACACGTCACTGTGGTCAATATCAAGTATGTGACTAACACGTCACTGTGGTCAATATCATGTATGTGACTAACACGTCACTGTGGTCAATATCATGTATGTGACTAACACGTCACTGTGGTCAATATCATGTATGTGACTAACACGTCACTGTGGTCCATATCATGTATGTATCTAACACGTCACTGTGGTCAATATCATGTATGTAACTAACACGTCACTGTGGTCAATATCATGTATGTGACTAACACGTCACTGTGGTCAATATCATGTTTGTGACAAACACGTCACTGTGGTCAATATCATGTATGTAACTAACACGTCACAGTGGTCAATATCATGTATGTAACTAACACGTCACTGTGGTCAATATCATGTATGTAACTAACACGTTACTGTGGTCAATATCAAATATGTAACTAACACGTCACTGTGGTCCATATCATGTATGTGACTAACACGTCACTGTTGTCAATATCATGTATGTAACTAACACGTCACTGTGGTCAATATCAAGTATGTAACTAACACGTCACTGTATCAAGTATGTGACTAACACGTCACTGTGGTCAATATCATGTATGTGACTAACACGTCACTGTGGTCAATATCATGTATGTGACTAACACGTCACTGTGGTCAATATCATGTATGTGACTAACACGTCACTGTGGTCAATATCATGTATGTAACTAACACGTCACTGTGGTCAATATCATGTATGTGACTAACACGCCACTGTGGTCCATAACATGTATGTATCTAACACGTCACTGTGGTCAATATCATGTATGTGACTAACACGTCACTGTGGTCAATATCATGTATGTAACTAACACGTCACTGTGGTCAATATCAAGTATGTAACTAACACGTCACTGTGGTCAATATCAAGTATGTAACTAACACGTCACTGTGGTCAATATCATGTATGTGACTAACACGTCACTGTGGTCAATATCATGTATGTAACTAACACGTCACTGTGGTCAATATCAAGTATGTAACTAACACGTCACTGTGGTCAATATCATGTATGTAACTAACACGTCACTGTGGTCAATATCAAGTATGTAACTAACACGTCACTGTGGTCAATATCAAGTATGTGACTAACACGTCACTGTGGTCAATATCCCCCCCCCCCCCCGCCCCCCCCCCCCCCCCCCCAAAAAAAAAAAAAAAAAAAAAAAAAAAAAAAAAAAAAAAAAATAAAAAAAAAAAAAAAAAAAAAGAAAAAGAAAAAAGCAAAATTAAAAAAAAAAAAACCCACATACAAAAAAAAATTTAAATGCAATATACCGGTCAACTTACTACTGTATTATAGACACATTGGGGGTCTGTACACTATATAGCCCACTGCTTGTATTTTCAAAAATCTTTTTCCATATTGTTAGCAGTTTTTATGATTTAATCCGAAAGTGGTCTGAGTACCAAGTAACCCTTATGTATGCTTGTATCATGCCTCTCGTGTAAGTAATATATATTTCAAAGTTTGCTAGATTAGCAGACTTCATTAGTCACAATCCATTGCTAGATCGGGGAAAATTAAAATTTCTTTAACAGAAATACGTTGTAATGTAATTGATTATTTACCGATAAGAATTGGTAATAAATCAACGTACGTTTTAGCTCCAAGTTTTCCGTCTCAACCTCCTCGATTCGTCTCTCTAGATGTTCTGTAAAGTGATAAAGTAATTATAGAGTTATTGATGTAGGAATTTGTTTACAACCTTTTATAGGTATGTCTCCTTTTAACATTCGCCTCCGGTCAATAATTTCTTCCGGCATCACAAATTGTCCGTAATTGATAAACACATTGATGTAATGATCAATATTTGCTCATTTAGGCTGACAGTGGAATAATGCTTATCATTCTTTAATTAATTACTATTGTAACATGTGCCCGAAACATTCTTTGATCTAAAAGAAAGGTGTTTTAAACTAAATTGAACCAGCATTTTGTCTGTGTTTGATATTTAGCCGCTTTGATAATGTAAACTGTCGAAACCGAAGACCAGTGTTTCCAAATTGCGCGTAATAGCATTTGTAATCTGTCCATTGTATGTACTTGTGTATGAAGGTCTGTTCAAATTCAGGGATATATTCTATGGGTATTATAGATATAAATGATACTCATTTCATTTTGTATTGATACACTTGGAAACATGTAGAATTGTTTTGAGTTTGGTTGTGTGGTAGGAAGTAAAAGGCCTTACCAATCGTTTTGAGTTTGGTTGTGTGGTAGGAAGTGAAATGCCTTACCAATAGTTTTGAGTTGTTGTGTGGTAGGAGGTGAAAGGCCTTACCAATTGTTTTAAGTTTGGTTGTAAGGTAGGAAGTGAAAGACCTTATCAATAGTTTTGAGTTGGTTGTGTGATAGAAGTGAAAGGCGTTACCAATAGTTTTGAGTTTGGTTGTGTGATAGGAAGTGAAAGGCCTTACCAATCGTTTGCTGCTGACTCTGGAAGGCGACCAACAGTGTCTGAACCTGTTCCTGAAGAGATAAGAAAGATTCCGGAGTAATGTCCGTATCACTTGTAATTGGTACAGCAACAATGCACAGACAGAGTAACTGTAAAATAACGGAGGACATGATGTTTGCTTGTTCTACTCCTATCACCTAGGTAGAACCTAGCTTTGTCATAGAGATAAGGTCCGGCATTATCAAGTTAACGTTGAACCAATGTAGGTCATAATTTGCATTCTATGGAAATAGTTCAGGTAAATCGTAATACACAGTGTAGGTTCGATTATTATTCCAACTGATATGAACTTTAAATTTCGTGAAAATCATCATGAAGCAGAAGACGCTTGCCCTGCCGGAACATTCAGGGGTTTCAGCGTAAATCTTTCATTTGTTCATATATTGCCCTGATTTATTGAATATGAATTCGTATTATGATTATGTAGACATGTTGGTATCTTGTTGTTGCTTGCACTAATTATATCGTAAGTCTAAACAAAATTTGTTAAGAAGTCATCTTTCACAATACCGCGAAAATTATTTTGTTGCAATGTAAGATTTCATAATTTACTTTCAGATTACAATATACAGTATCGTCAAATTTAATAGATAACTACAGAAATTAGGAAAAAGATAAAAGAACCTGTGAGCAAGGCTGACTCGAGTGTAAAATCGTAGAGCTGGTAAGTTTACAATGCAATAATGGTCAATAATTGTTTTGTCATTTATAGACAGTCACACTTTGTTCCCATAGGAATGCCAATAGTCGGTTGGAAGATCTTACCAGCAAACTCGACGAAGAAATTGCCAATCAGTTGATAGCATGTTGGTGTTTTTGTTGATTTTTTATGATTCAAATTCAATTCAAGACTCAGGGGTATATCATTGTATATATTACATTCAGAAAAATAATGTCAAGCAGTTTCGAAAGCTTGGTTACACTCGCGCATTGGAGAGTATCTATCATAATTTTCATCCTGAAAAAGAAAATGACGCGAGTCGACTATGGGAACATTTCAGAGTGACAATCAGGGAGAAATAATTACATATCTGTATCGACATAGATCTTGTCACGTCCGTCACTCTCAACGTCAAACTGACCGTCATCCTATTAACTAGATGTCATTAATGGCTGGACGGACAGTAATTTAGACTGACCAGTAAATATGTTATCAGTTCTTGTTGTAATTTCGCTTGCCTGATTACATTAGATCAACACCGGACATTCTCAGTGTTTACACGGTCCTTTTAACGACAGGTTCAATTCTTTATCAATTCCTCATTCCGTGTTAGCGATTTATTAGGTTAAAACCCTCTTCACAAGCCGGGAGGAAGACGAAATGCAAATAAATCTGCCATCAGACGTGTAAACAACACACGAGTCGAATCTGAAAGAAATGAAACTTGAACAAAATACAAAAGCGGAATCATTGCCGGAATATGCCAGGAAAACTATGACGTCATGTTATTCTATCAATTATGGACGTACATTTACCAAAGTCGCTGTAAGGAAATCCCATGGAGCCGACGGGAACAGTATCTAGTTATAAAAATATTGCCTCTTGATTTCTAGGTTGGGACTTTATACCCGACAGAGTAAAAGAGGCATATAAAGCAATATATCATAGCGGCCTCAACATATCTGCTTTATATCTACATCATAATCTAACATTATTAGGTTCTACAGCGAAATTAGTTTTGGTGCCCATCGGTAAAGCTTAAACAGTAGAGGTCACCCTTGTCCACTTTTAAGTTTGTGATTTAGTCAGAAATTCAAATATCACGGAGTGAGGGTATATATAATCTCCTGTTCACCTAACTATCGTTCCTAATCATAATTTACGTATTGCGAACATTTCATTATATCTGATTGATAAAGAGTACGTTTGGAAGGTAAAACTGTTACAGGGGTAAATAGATCCGCCTGAATTGCTTTGTCACAATGTCTGGTTTAGCCGATATCACTGCTATGTCAGTCTATTAGAAACATCCTTTGTCACAATGTCTGGTTTAGCCGATATCACTGCTATGTCAGTCTATTAGAAACATCCTTTGTCACAATGTCTGGTTTAGCCGATATCACTGCTATGTCACAATTTCTGGTTTAGCCGATATCACTGCTATGTCAGTCTATTAGAAACATCCTTTGTCACAATTTCTGGTTTAGCCGATATCACTGCTATGTCAGTCTATTAGAAACATCCTTTGTCACAATTTCTGGTTTAGCCGATATCACTGCTATGTCAGTCTATTAGAAACATCCTTTGTCACAATGTCTGGTTTAGCCGATATCACTGCTATGTCAGTCTATTAGAAACATCCTTTGACACAATTTAATTATGTTCCTACTAGAACATCCCATTAAGCCTTAGTCCGTTTTCATAGGTCATTCCTTTACAATAATTTTAAGTATCGGAATTTGGCGGCAGTCCGTATGCTCTAGTATTGTTAGTAAGAGGTTTGGCTGTAACTGTGATTCAGCTTGCTGCCTTGATCTGATACACAACAGAGAAACGTTCCCAATTCTCCAGTAGCTCGGAGCACGTTGTCGTTCAATGTATTGATCGACTAGCAACTCAAGCGTCTGAGAGAAACTGAACTATTGCGGGAAAGAATGATCATGCCATGCATAATAGATGCTTGGAAGGCCTAGTGGAATCCCGTCAACATTGCAGTGTACCCGTGACACGCATTCAACTAAATGCAATAGTGAGTTTATTAACTCTACACACATAAATGGACTGATTATAAACACAGGACAGTCCGGTAAACCAATAAGCGATCCTACTGGACAGCGGTGATGCATACATGGCAATGAAGCCATGATCCCAGGAGCAGGACAGTGCCGGATTATCATACAGTCATAAAGGTATGTTACATGCCTATATCTAATAGTAATTTCATTTCCGTCCATGTTGATGTACACAATTTCATCCTTATGTAATATTTAGGTGTTGACATGACATCCTGGTTAACTATTGTAGTCAAAGCTCAGCTGAACTGATACAAACCGCGCACGTTACAGTGTCGGCTGAAACAGACTAACATATTGCTTGCTTTCGCAGTGTAACTTGCAATAATTGTGTTTAAATGTGCTGTGTTAATCATGAAATATATTTTCAGCAGTATAAACAACATTTGCTTTGTAGCGCTTTATTTATGAGCTGATGTGTATCACACTAAACGCACTCCATTCACAGGAAATGTTTGGTCTGAACTATAATACCGAACATAAAACTGGTCCATCGACAAACGAGGATGTGAGTGACCGCAAAGTACGGTATTTCAGCGAGTAGTAGTTGCTAATCAAACAGACATTTAATAATGCATATACCAAACAATAACGGTAATATTGATCACAGGTCGTTGCATATTCATCCAAAATGAATTCTGCTTACACTGGTTCTGAATAACTCCCGACTTCTGTTTTCTCTAAATCTATTACAAATGTATTTTTATATATAATCTTCTTGCGGGTAATCACCAAAACCAGCGCCGCAGATATTGACCAGGCGAACCTTAATTAAATTATCCATGTTGTAAATGAGATGGAATTCTATACAAATATCAAAGTCGTATGAATAAATGTTATAAATAATGGTACAACACAGGATGTCCTTGAAACTTCAATGTGTAACAGATTTATCACTCGTGTTCCTTTCTTTACCGAAACCTACACATCCTCGTGTAAATGAAATAAAATCCTCATTTCAAACAATTTCCGTTAAAATGCATATTGCATATGTATAACCCAACAATTGTGATGAACGCGCACAGGTTCTGGACAGAGAAATTACATCAAACCAGTACCAACAAGGTCCAGTACAGTGACGTAGTCACCATACAAGTACCAACAAGGTCCAGTACAGTGTGACGTAGTCATCACACCAGTACAGTGACGTAGTCATCACATCAGTACCAACAAGGTCCAGTACAGTGGAACATCACACCAGTACCAACAAGGTCCAGTACAGTGGAACATCACACCAGTACCAACAAGGTCCAGTACAGTGACGTAGTCATCACACCAGTACCAACAAGGTTCAGTACAGTGACGTAGTCATCACACCAGTACCAACAAGGTCCAGTATAGAAGAACATCACACCAGTACCAACAAGGTCCAGTACAGTGACGTAGTCATCACACCAGTACCAACAAGGTCCAGTACAGTGACGTAGTCATCACACCAGTACCAACAAGGTCCAGTATAGAGGAACATCACACCAGTACCAACAAGGTCCAGTACAGTGACGTAGTCATCACATCAGTACCAACAAGGTCCAGTACAGTGGAACATCACATTAGTACCAACAAGGTCCAGTACAGAGGAACATCACACCAGTACCAACAAGGTCCAGTACAGTGACGTAGTCATCACACCAGTACCAACAAGGTCCAGAACAGTGACGTAGCCACCACACCAGTACCAACAAGGTCTAGTACAGTGGAACATCACATCAGTACCAACAAGGTCCAGTACAGTGGAACATCACACCAGTACCAACAAGGTCCAGTACAGTGGAACATCACACCAGTACCAACAAGGTCCAGTACAGTGACGTAGCCATCGCACCAGTACCAACAAGGTCCAATACAGTGACGTAGTCATCACACCAGTACCAATACGGTCCAGTACAGAGGAACATCTCACCAGTACCAACAAGATCCAGTACAGTGACGTAGTCATCACATCAGTACCAACAAGGTCCAGTACAGTGGAACATCACACCAGTACCAACAAGGTCCAGTACAGTGACGTAGTCATCACACCACTACCAACAAGGTCCAGTACAGTGACGTAGTCATCACACCAGTACCAACAAGGTCCAGTATAGAGGAACATCACACCAGTACCAACAAGGTCCAGTACAGTGACGTAGTCATCACATCAGTACCAACAAGGTCCAGTACAGTGGAACATCACACCAGTACCAACAAGGTCCAGTACAGAGGAACATCACACCAGTACCAACAAGGTCCAGTACAGTGACGTAGTCATCACACCAGTATCAACAAGGTCCAGTACAGTGACGTAGCCACCACACCAGTACCAACAAGGTCTAGTACAGTGGAACATCACATCAGTACCAACAAGGTCCAGTACAGTGGAACATCACACCAGTACCAACAAGGTCCAGTACAGTGGAACATCACACCAGTACCAACAAGGTCCAGTACAGTGACGTAGCCACCGCACCAGTACCAACAAGGTCCAATACAGTGACGTAGTTATCACACCAGTACCAATACGGTCCAGTACAGAGGAACATCACACCAGTACCAACAAGATCCAGTACAGTGACGTAGTCATCACATCAGTACCAACAAGGTCCAGTACAGTGACGTAGTCATTACACCAGTACCAACAAGGTCCAGAACAGTGACGTAGCCACCACACCAGTACCAACAAGGTCCAGAACAGTGACGTAGCCACCACACCAGTACCAACAAGGTCCAGTACAGTGACGTAGCCACCACATCAGTACCAACAAGGTCCAGTACAGTGGATCATCACACCAGTACCAACAAGGTCCAGTACAGTGGATCATCACACCAGTACCAACAAGGTCCAGTACAGTGACGTAGTCATCACACCAGTACCAACAAGGTTCAGTACAGTGACGTAGTCATCACACCAGTACCAACAAGGTCCAGTACAGTGGATCATCACACCAGTACCAACAAGGTATGAAACGGTATGAAATGTACGACAATGCATACCATGAAAATAAAATTGATAAAAATATCCTTACACACACGTGCGTTCTGTTTCAAGATTCTGCCTAAATAGCAAACAACTGAACCCTTGGAGTAGTAAACAACAAAAAGACTGATTTAAACTCCCTCGTTCCTGAGAAGTTCCTTGATGTTATACTTTGTATATCAATGACTGATCGTTAACGTAACAGAGGTGATCAATTTTCCTTCATGTTTTTATAAGGAATCAAACCTATTACCTTTGGCCTAGTTAATTCTTAGCTTAATTCCTCATAGACGGTATGAACGGACAGAGGTGTAGTGGGGTTACATATTGATCCTCTTGAAGATTTCCAGGAGTAACTGCGTTTGGTTGTTGTTGTTTTTGTTCTCTGATACCTTCGCCGATATCTCCCGAATACCTCCCGAATGTCTCCCGAATGTCTCCCAATTAACAACGATGTCTGTAATATAACAGATTCCTGTATCATCTATACATCAGCAATGATCGATCCTTTTCCGTACTTTACAAACGTCTAGTGAACAAGACCAAGGGAACTTCCCCTTGTAAGTGGTAAGTGTTGTACTCCTATCACCTGGAGATAAATATACCTCATAACAAAGAGGATTTCATCGATGTGCGCCATCAGAGGTAAAATCAGTTACAGAACTAGGTCACTTCCACAAGAATTATTGATACATGTCAGCGTAGCCGGATTGTTTCTGGATACTTTCTTTCCAGTTGTCAATTGTTTGACTGACACACCCCATTTCTCAATATTTGTTCGTAAAAGTGCGCTAACACAATCCCGATTTCCTTCGTTTTAGATGTCTACCATATGTATACAGTAGGTTTTGACGTTCGACTTACACAGTATCTTTATCCATCGTCTAATGAGAAGAAAATTAACAAAGTCTAAAATACAAACAGATCACACAAATAATCTACCAAGTAGTATGTCCGTATACTACTATCCATGCGTTCTTAATTCACTCCAACGTTCTGAGTGTTTATATGCAAATAATTCTCAGCTCCTTTGTTTCTTTCAACGTGAAATCTCACAACCAGGACATCTCATCACGTCACATGATACAGAGGAAAGATCACGTAACTGAATAAATGTGTTATATCACAATGTTCTGTTTACGGGGCAGCATATTCCAATTCTCACGACTTATCTTCACGGCAAATATTGTGTTAAACTAAGGAAGCATTAGTTTACTTTTATCAGTGTACATGTTAGGATATGTTTTAGTGATATTCAGTGTACATGTAAGGATATGTTTTAGTGGTCATCAGTGTACATGTAAGGATATGTTTTAGTGGTCATCAGTGTACATGTAAGGATATGTTTTAGTGGTCATCAGTGTACATGTAAGGATATGTTTTAGTGGTCATCAGTGTACATGTAAGGATATGTTTTAACGACCATCAGTGTACATGTAAGGATATGTTTTAGTGGTCATCAGTGTACATGTAAGGATATGTTTTAGTGATATTCAGTGTACATGTAAGGATATGTTTTAGTGGTCATCAGTGTACATGTAAGGATATGTTTTAGTGGTCATCAGTGTACATGTAAGGATATGTTTTAGTGGTCATCAGTGTACATGTAAGGATATGTTTTAGTGGTCATCAGTGTACATGTTAGGATATGTTTTAGTGGTCATCAGTGAACATGTAAGGATATGTTTTAGTGGTCATCAGTGTACATGTAAGGATATGTTTTAATGGTCATCAGTGTACATGTAAAGATATGTTTTAGTGGTCATCAGTGTACATGTAAGGATATGTTTTAGTGGTCATCAGTGTACACGTAAAGGTATGTTTTAGTGGTCATCAGTGTACATGTAAGGATATGTTTTAATGGTCATCAGTGTACATGTAAGGATATGTTTTAGTGGTCATCAGTGAACATGTAAGGATATGTTTTAGTGGTCATCAGTGAACATGTAAGGATATGTTTTAGTGGTCATCAGTGTACATGTAAGGATATGTTTTAGTGGTCATCAGTGTACATGTAAGGATATGTTTTAGTGGTCATCAGTGTACATGTAAAGACGTGTTATAATATTTGATAGTATGCATTTATTATCTATCAATGTTGATAATTACTATCCTGTTAACAGTATGATAATACTGTACATACATATCGGACACTTTAATAGTTTCAAATTTTACATGTATTGAGTGTGATATTGTTGGCTATTTTATTCCACATCTCTGCTGTATGTTTTCTTTATTGACGTCAAGCTGCAGAAAGGTTCATGCAGTTTTCACGTCGCTATAGAAACAATTCTAGCTTTCAATCAATTACAGTCATTATACAATATACAACAGGTGGTAAACACTGATAACATGGTAAACATGCTATTTTTCTATTTCAAATGAAATGAGTTTGAGGTAGTTAGCCTATTTTTTTTATTTAGCGAATATTCTAGCAAAAATACTTTCCGGCTAAAACCTTATATTAAATAAAAACGAATAAGGTGATGTAAAACTGGAATATTTCATTACTTATCAAGGAAACATTTAAAATCATTCTGTATGTCTTTATATAAAAAGTGATTAAAATGAAGTTTGTTTGCAAAGCGTTTCCAATTTCACAACCAGTGCATTTTGAGGTCTTCAACCGGGTTTTCACATATAAGAAAAAAAATATTGCAACAAGATTTTAGAGACATATGCATCATTTTGTTTCCGTCTGAAAATTTTGGTCTGACGCAATCTGAAATGCCGCATTAGCAAATTCTGTTAAAATTGTCAAGTTTCTTATTCGTAAACAAGAGCACCTGTCAATAGCAGGCTTTCTTGCTATCCATCAGAATCACAGCTTTATTCGTAGGAATTGTCATTTCGGAATATTTAATGTGTTTGTACTGATGGGGTGTCACATTTGACTGGGGGAAGTAACCTTTTTGTGGTGAAAGGTATCTTAAAGTTATACAGAACAGCTGTTAAATACCTCAACAAACCAACCTGTATAGGAATTATGTAAATAGATATGTAAAGATTCTTTATACACAACCAGGAATTTTAATATGTGACGTTTCGGTGACCAGTACGATCCGTACGCTGTCACCTTCCTCAGACAAATGGGAATAGTAAAACCCTTCGGCTACGCTTATTTTATTACTTGGTCATAGATGTGCGAGAGTCTATGAGCCCCCTCGTCTCGGTTCAGAACTGCCCCGCTGCGGCGTATCCAGATGGCTTCTTTGATCTGTCGCTTCAGAAGATGGTTCTCCCTATCGAGCACCTTTGAGTTTTCCCAGTCAATCACATGGTTTTCCTGCATGGCATGGTAAGTGATTGCCGATTTGTTTATCTGGGACTCCGACTGCTTCCTCTCTGATCGGGTGAACTTCTTTTCCTCTTGTCTTTCGGTGTCTTTCCGGTGCTCCCCAAGGCGAAACCCGAATCGCCTTCCAGTCTCTCCAATATATGACGCGTCACAGACTCTCGCACATCTATGACCAAGTAATAAAATAAGCGTAGCCGAATGGTTTTACTATTCGCTAACAGTCATTTCGGCACTTGTCAGCATGTCCGAAATCGACGCTATTCCACGACAACTCGTACACATATCACACCTTTGTGTACATGCTTTACTGGTCATTTGTCTGAGGAAGGTGACAGCGTACGGATCGTACTGGTCACCGAAACGTCACATATTAAAATTCCTGGTTGTGTATAAAGAATCTTTACATAATCCTTACTTTCCAACCTGACGAAAATGTTCAGTATTAGGGAAATAGTTGATTTCATTGCAATAAAGAATGAAGGTGGCATCATAACTGTCCTAAGTCTAGTGGTTGGCAAAAATACACAAATACTCTAAAAATGATGTATCCTCATGTTTTACTCTCACATCTATATGTATTTCTAGCAATTAAAACAAGTTTTTAATTCAATCCGTTCAGGGTCCCCAGTGTCTTCCACCAGCCTAGTAATTTAGATGTTTCAATTCCCAAAAGATTATATACCAGCGTGGTGATCTAGGAAATTCCCAGTCCCTTTAGACTATCTACCCTCCAAATGATTTAGGCCATTCTCAGTCCCTACAGACTATCTACCGTCCAAATGATTTAGGCCATTCTCAGTCCCTACAGACTAACTACCGTCCAAATGATTTAGGCCATTCTCAGTCCCTACAGACTTACTACCGTCCAAATGATTTAGGCCATTCTCAGTCCCTACAGACCATCTACCGTCCAAATGATTTAGGCCATTCTCAGTCCCTACAGACTATCTACTTCCAAATGATTTAGGCCATTCTCAGTCCCTACAGACTATCTACCGTCCAAATGATTTAGGCCATTCTCAGTCCCTACAGACTATCTACCGTCCAAATGATTTAGGCCATTCTCAGTCCCTACAGACCATCTACCGTCCAAATGATTTAGGCCATTCTCAGTTCCTACAGACTAACTACCGTACAGACTATCTACCCAAATGATTTAGGCCATTCTCAGTCCCTACAGACTATCTACCCTCCAAATGATTTAGGCCATTCTCAGTCCCTACAGACTATCTACCGTCCAAATGATTTAGGCCATTCTCAGTCCCTACAGACTATCTACCCTCCAAATGATTTAGGCCATTCTCAGTCCCTACAGACTATCTACCGTCCAAATGATTTAGGCCATTCTCAGTTCCTACAGACCATCTACCGTCCAAATGATTTAGGCCATTCTCAGTCCCTACAGATTATCTACCGTCCAAATGATTTAGGCCATTCTCAGTCCCTACAGACCATCTACCGTCCAAATGATTTAGGCCATTCTCAGTCCCTACAGACCATCTACCGTCCAAATGATTTAGGCCATTCCCAGTCCCTACAGACTATCTACCGTCCAAATGATTTAGGCCATTCTCAGTCCCTACAGACTATCTACCCTCCAAATGATTTAGGCCATTCTTAGTCCCTACAGATTATCTACCGTCCAAATGATTTAGGCCATTCTCAGTCCCTACAGACTATCTACCGTCCAAATGATTTAGGCCATTCTCAGTCCCTACAGACCATCTACCGTCCAAATGATTTAGGCCATTCCAAGTCCCTACAGACTATCTACCGTCCAAATGATTTAGGCCATTCCCAGTCACTACAGACTATCTACCGTCCAAATGATTTAGGCCATTCTCAGTCCCTACAGACTATCTACCGTCCAAATGATTTAGGCCATTCTCAGTCCCTACAGACCATCTACCGTCCAAATGATTTAGGCCATTCTCAGTCCCTACAGACTTTCTACCAATGTAATGATTCAATTCCCTGTCCCAAGAGACTGCCTATCAGCCTAGTTGTTTAGACAGTTCCTACTCCTCTTCTACCGTCTATAGACATAAAATTTGGACAGCCACTGAATCGCCATACCCTAGAAACCGTTGCTAGACACATGGATTGGACAAAATAACATTTATCCCTAGCGACTCTCTGATTCTTTATACAATCCCAATTTCCTAGCCCCTAGAGACTGTGTATAGACATATGTTTTGGGTTGTTCTGTTACTCTGATCGTCTGAAGATAATGCTTTCTTGCCGTTTATGCAATCAGAGTCCCTATAGACTTTTAGCAAGCTTTGTAATTTGACCTGCCTTCCTCACCCTCAACCTTAGATATTTCACATCATTGTTATATAGGAAGTCCTGAGTAGTCCTCAGGACCCTAGAAATACCCTTATATAAGCTGTCTATTTATGTATCGACCCGCCTAGCTCCTCATGAGGCATGCTGGAGTGCCGCCGATAAATCACGACCATTTAGCCCAATCCCTGTATAGATACAGAAGTAGTCTCGCTCTGGTGTAGCCGCCACACATTGACTCAGCTCGGTAACTGTTCGGCAATGCTTAAGGTTTGTCATAAGGATGTTGTATCAATTATTGGTTAAATCTGCGGATATTTAGAGCTATTATCTACCAATAACTAATACTACATGCTTTGGTGTTTATATTCCTCCGTTCTGTAAGATATCGACATTTGTACGGAGATGTATTTGTTTCATACTGTATGTGTAATGATAAATATATATTAATTTACACACATTCTATAGATATTCTTATGATATATTGAATAGTTTGTTTACCATTAATGTAAACATTTGTCATATTTCCGGTAACTATGTTTTAGGCTCACCTGCCAAGGCGCACACAAGCAACGTAGAGAACACGACTGCCAGGATCAATTTTTCGGAAAAGACCAAACACGAAAATCAATTAGGCGTTCAAGGCGGATAACACTCCTGGATATTACCGTGGTTTATATATTTCCATAATTCGAGGATCCGGCTATTTATCCTTGCGTTCTACGAAGAATAAGTTGGTATTGAATATTAACAGTTCTGCATGGGATCTGCACGAATGTAGCTTTACGCCATAAAAGCCTACAGTTTGTATGGTACCAACGTAAATGCCTGTTATTTATACAGAAGGCCCTGCTCAATCTACAGACACAGTTATTGTTATTGGAGTGTCCTCGGCATAGGGTCTAGTGGAACTCTTATCGAGGGAGACAATAAACGACGCTTGAGGAAGGTCAAATATTCCAAGGACAGTACTAAGCACATGGAGGTGGGTTTGGAAGGAATTAGCATACTCCTGTATACGTGTTTCTGTCAGTAACATCTGAAAAAAACATTTCAAAGAATTGAAAAAGGAAGATGGCGCCAGAGCTGGACTCCGATGACAGTGATGTCGGGGAGGGAGGGCATCGTGGGGATTGGAACAAGTATAAGGTGCGTTCACAGATCAACGAAGGTTACAATACTTCTCAGAAAAAACGCGACATCATAGATACATTCTTTACGTATGTGAACAGGGATTTACTTATATGTAAACTCTTCTACTTTTTCTTCTTTGCTGCTTTTGGATCTCTGTTTCCGCTCCTTGCTATCTACTTTAAACAACTTGGGATGAATCCAACACAGAGCGGTATTCTGATTGGGTTTAGACCATTCGTTGAGTTTTGCAGTGCTCCATTTTGGGGCAGTTTGGCAGATAGATATAAAAAGGGTAAACACTTGATGTTGTTTTCCCTGTTTTGTTGGATTGTGTTCACGCTGTCGATCGCGTTCGTTAAACCTCCGCCTCATCACTGCGTGGAAACTAATATTACATATAAGATTCAGAGCCCTCCCGGCTACGTGTCACGTGATAGCGTGCTGAGGGGCAGGCGCAGCGTGGAGTATGGACGTACAGTCAGTGAGGACATGTCACGAGAGTTGCCAAAGCGGGAAAAAGGTATAGGTAATATGGTTGATATGATGAACAAAAGTGAAGGTGTAGCATACAATGTGGCTGGAAAGGCTGGCAGTAAAAACCCACATGATGATTATGTGAAATTCCAACCCTTAACAGCAAAACCTTCAGTCAAAACAACGATACAAGTAAAACCGACCCCGAAGACCCAGCTTTCGCATGCAATTCCCACCACCGCCACCATGCCGCACGAGGCCGCCGTTGCCAAGACTGGGGCAGCCGGCGCCCCGAAGGGTAGCTACATCAAACCGAAATACAGCACCGTGTACTATGAAAAGCATGCTGTTCAGGACGTGTTCTTCACGCTCCTGTTGCTCGTGGTTATAGGTGAGTTCTTCAGTGCTCCAGCTATAACTTTCGCCGATTCTGTTACACTCGCTTATCTCGGTGACGATACTGATAACTATGGCAGACAAAGGATGTTCGGTTCTCTCGGATGGGGATTCTCTATGTTCTTTGTCGGTTTGGCGTTGGATCAGTCGACGACTTTTCCAAATCACCCATGTGGACTACAACATCAAGCAGAAAAGGACTACACGATCTGCTTCGCGGTTTTCTCGGTGTTGATGAGCTGTGCCCTATTCACGGCCACCCAATTTAAATTCGACCATCGGCATGGCGGTGGAAAGGACTTCCAGCTCGTGGAATTCGTGGAAAAGGTCAAGGACAGAGTTATGGAAACGATAACTGGAAAGCGTCCATTGGACAGAGGAAGTCTGTTTCGAGATGAAGAAGATGACGACATCGACTATCTCGAATCAAAGGCAACAATGCAGAAACAGATGGAGACGGGTAATACTGTTGATCCTTATAACGAAGGGGACCCAAATAAATTACAACAGCCGAATGGAAACGGTAAAAATATTCAAATATCACTAGAGACTCGTCAGGACATGGTGTCAGACGTCACAAAGAAACCAGTGAGCATTACAGGACAGGATGAAGATGAGGATGAGCCATTTTTGGGAAGATGGATTGCCGTCATGAGAATGCTTTCAACTTATAAATACATATCAGTGTTATTTGTGTCCTGGTTCATGGGGTTTGGGATAGGCCTAATTTTTACCTTCCTCTTCTGGCACCTTCAGGACTTGGGAGGCAGTCCAACTCTTTTCGGAGTTGCTTCGGTCTTCAACCATATATCTGAACTGCTGGCCTACTTTCTCAGTCGGAAACTCATCTCACGTATGGGTAAGTCATATATCAGCTATTACTTAACTTTTATTCAACCAAGAACGTGTTTTTTTTCTCCGAAGTAAACTCCCTTTCTGACCTGGCTACTTAAGAGACTGACTGGCACGTAGCCTGCATATCTCACCGTTGAATCCAGTAAATGATACAGTGTTTTCTCCACCCTATATGACCAGTTCAGACAAATTGTTAAGTGACATGATTCTGACGCAGACGGGTCCTCTAGGTCACATGAATTATAAATAAGACTTGGATATTTTACTTAATCTCCTTGTTCTATTATATTTCACCGTGTCACCGGGGATTTGTCTTGCTGCTGATCTTATCAGTACCGCCAGCCGTCCACGTCTGCAATATATAACAATTTCAATTTTATGTGATTTCATGTTTCCTATAAAAGTTATATAAAGCAATTTAAGAAGTATAATCCTGTCAATGAATTAGCCTCGCCTTTCCTGTCGACGATGATATCATATTCTTCATCGAACTGACATCTGATTGTCAATTACTGAAGAATAAACGTGATATAAAACCTTACAAGTTCAATCCTTATCATGGCATTTTACAAAAGCTCTGTTCCTTAACCTCGTTTTATAACCTTTCAATAGTGCGGGACAGGTCTACGCGAGTAGTAATTCAATAAATGTGTAAACTTAAGTTGTTTTGGGTCTCGTTAGTTACAGATCGATCGTCCCGAACACACTTAGCACGTAAACCAATAAATCAATCAGTGGTCGATTATTTAATTACTACTCCAACACGCGAGATCAACTTTCCTGGATTATCGATTACAAAAAACAAGTTCGTTTCCGTACATTACTGAATAAACCCCGCGTCAGACCTACGTTACGTCTGATTCCACCATACACTGTAACAGACTACCTAACCCCGGGTCAGACCTACGTTACGTCCTAACCCCGCGCCAGACCTACGTTACGTCTGATTCCACCATACACTGTAACAGACTACCTAACCCCGGGTCAGACCTACGTTACGTCCTAACCCCGCGCCAGACCTACGTTACGTCTGATACCATCATACACTGTAAACAGACTACCTAACCCCGCGTCAGACCTACGTTACGGTTGATTCCATCATACACTGTAAACAGACTACCTAACCTCGCGTTAGACCTACGTTACGTCTGATTCCATCATACACTGTAAACAGACTACCTAACTCCGCGTCAGACCTACGTTACGTCTGATTCCATCATACACTGTAAACAGACTACCTAACCTCGCGTTAGACCTACGTTACGTCTGATTCCATCATACACTGTAAACAGACTACCTAACCCCGCGTCAGACCTACGTTACGTCCTAACCCCGCGTCAGACCTACGTTACGTCTGATTCCATCATACGCTCATAACAGGCTACCAAACCCTGGATGAAAGCGCGCGAGGGGTGATACTGATTGAGGAAAGCGGAATATCTGGGGAAACCCACGTGGTCGGGCAGGTGACCCATTACCTTTTCAGATCCTTTCCGAGAATCGAACCCCGATCGTTACCACTACGCCACCCGACCACTCAAGATATTGATACATGTATTCCGTATCAGCATCGTATATAGCACAACACATCAAATATATATACATATGATATAATTCTACACTTTTAACAGTAACACGACATCATATCTAACTACACCTCAGAACCATGAGAAACAGATGAGAATATAAAGTATGATATTTATCTGTTCACTTTCAGCAAATTGTTTTGTGTCTCTTAACCTTGCAAAGGAAAAAAATCGAAATGGTACCTTAAATTTTATATAACTGACTTCATTTCACTCAGCCTAAACAAAATCGAAAATAAAACCGAAAATAAACGTTTGACAACTAAATTTACTATTGATGAAATAGGATAATAAGTGAGTTTCTTTTTCAGGTTGATGAAAAGTTGTCCGATAGATTTCCATTTCAATGAGAGTCAAAAATAACATAATGAACGAACTTCGGCACAGTAATTTAAGTAAATGTTGCTAAAAACATTCCTTTTCATGTCTTTTTCTTATCGTCTTCTATAAAGGACCCCAAGCATTATATTGCTTTCAGTTGACATACCTATACAATATAAAGGACTTACCTCTGTAATATAAATCCCAACTGACAATATCCCTACATCATTAGCAGTTCATGAGTTGGTAATGTGCCAAAGAGGTGTCATACAATCGATATTAGAACGTCATATACAATATCGATATTATGACGTCATATAAAATTTCGATATTATGACGTCATATATAATATCGATATTACGACGTCATATACAATATCGATATTACGTCGTCATATACAATATCGATATTACGACGTCATATACAATATGAATATTATGACGTCATGTATAATATCAATATTACGACGTCATATACGATATTAATATTATGAAGTCATGTACAATATCGATATTACGACGTCATATACAATATCGATATTACGTCATATACAATATCGTACGACGTCATATACAATATGAATATTATGACGTCATGTATAATATCAATATTACGACGTCATATACGATATTAATATTATGAAGTCATGTACAATATCGATATTACGACGTCATATACAATATCGATATTACGACGTCATATACAATATCAATATTATGACGTCATGTACAATATCGAAATTATTTTATGCTGACGTCTCAAAAAGCCATAATATAGCAATTTAACAGAAAAAAATATGTGATAAGTGACAACATGACGTCAAAACCAGTACAAAATGAGACAAAACTTAATTTTCATACACGCTGTATATCTATGCCATGACAGTTTGAAAGGGTGAAGCCAACCACTGTGATTGTAGGGTAAACATACCCGAAAGATTGTAACATAAGATATATTTCAATTATTATTAATTCTAACCTGTTTGTCGTAAGAAGAGCCCTCCACTGTGCGAGCTGACTTACAATTTAAAACAAGTAAATTATATTATGATAGATGAGACAATCTATACTAAGCATAATCGAATAATCCTGTTCTCCTGTCCCTATGAGCATCAGCAACACATCCATTCACTCCATCGGGAAAAAATTACCTTGAGAAGCTTGCTGTGTTTAATGGAAGTTATTTCCCGGAAGAAGTTACGAGCAAACAGGAAATCTTTGTAGTGTTGCGTCTGTTTGTATGTAAATTTCTGTTTTTCGTCCAATGAAAATCGCTTGCTAGAGAGATAATATTAATCTTTACTTGGCGAAGCACATAACAACAAAATCAATGTCAACATAACGGATGACCGAAATATATAACTCATAGATATATTAATGTCTTTTTTATTTTCCTAAAATTTCGGAGATATAAAATAACTGATCAAATCTGCACCAAAAAAAGTACATTAAAAATGTGTCAGCTGCATACTCTATACCAAGAGTTTTGTCCACTTAGACTGCGCACGCGCTTTTTGTCTTGTTTTGCTATTTAAGACGGCACTTTCTGATGTAAAGACCGTAAATGGGGGTCATAGTTACAACCAATAGCAGTCCTACTCGATACATTAAACAACATTAAGAACCATTACAAATCGGCATTACTATTCAATAAGACATAACGAGACCGTGTCGTGAAACATAAAGCCGAAAGCGCATGCGTCAACAAGATCAAACCGTATCTCACTAAAGGACTGATCTGAGTAAACACATCCACAGATCCAAATTAAATCATCACCATTTTCAGCTCTAAGGCATTTGGATTCCAGAAGGAACATGTAATGTTCGTGCAAACATGCGGGTTTAACTGGTGCTCGACACTGTAACTAGACGCTAAATAAAACAACAACGGTATCATTGCTAACAAATCAATTAGACGGCGTTCGTCCTGGTCCTGTGGCGACGCTCAATCGGGAGCTTTATCGATGTTCCATGTTTGGGAATCAGGATGGATTAGATGGTTCAGATTTCGAGATGTTTCAAGAAATAAATCGAGAACAATTGAGTTTGGAGTAGATAATACTATACGGGATCTAAAACCAGGGAGTTCTAGCTTAATGCAATGTTGTTTCCACTAAATCCATCCATAATTTGGTTTGGAGTAAATTAAGGTTGATCAAAATCTTCGCCAGATTACCATATTTTGTTCGATTGCATTTTAAGGTTGTATGGTAATTTTAAAAGGTAGTAATCTAACACCAGAGAGTTCCACAGTGGATCTGTGTAGCCATGTGAGATTACCATATTTTGTTAAACGAATATGCATTTTAAGGTTGTATGGTAATTTTAAAAGGTAGTAATCTAACACCAGAGAGTTCCACAGTGGATCTGTGTAGCAATATATTCCCACATTTCCGGACATGTGAGGTCATATAATTCTTCACCATCATACTTTCAAATTTGGTGGTAAACATTGATTAGAATATAGCAAGTGATATGATAGGACACGAGATACAGAGACAGTGGTATGATAGGACACGAGATACAGAGACAGTGGTATGATAGGACACGAGATACAGAGACAGTGGTATGATAGGACATGGTATGTTTGATAATGTCATGGCCCTTATACATGGACATTACCTGAAGTTCATGGCTTTACTCCTTTACTGAACGGCTGCGACAAACATCTGCATACTTTACACGTGAGTTAATATCGTTTTATTTATTCAAGGATAAGAGGATAATTACAATATTACTACACACAGGGCTTCTGCGGATGTTTAACTGGCAAAATTACTCGTAAGAGGTCAATATAGTCGATAAAACAGTTTTGTTTTCCATTCACATTCAATGGAAGTATCCTTTAGGCTTCAAGGGATTTTGATGTAGTAAATAACATTCACTTAGTTCTAACCTTCTGTAGATTTATAGTGTTATATCTGTAAAAATATAAAAACAACAGAGGAAATTGAGTTATAAATTCATGATGTTTCCCTTCGCGTGAGAGCTGTGAGCTTATTTCAATTTCCTTCTGTGTATCGCAGTTCTTTGTCGGTCTTTCGCATTGATTTTTTCATGACTTACATTATTTCTTGTAGATCCCCAGGTTGCATGTA